ATCTGGTCCCTCACATGGATTTCATAAGTGAAGAGTAGCTTTATTTCAGTATTCATTCACTGGAAGATTGTCAGTGTGCTGTGGGAGGAGAGCCTTACACTCTGGTTGAAGCAACCAGCATGAGGATGATACGCACAAACTTAGAAACAATCAGGGTGATACATGTATAGTAATATTAAATAACCTGGAGGCCATTACTTTATGTTTTAGCTTTATATATGCAATTATGACTGTCATAAGCTTTTTATTTGCTTTGATTGCAAACAATCTCATGCTTACTACTTTTTGTGTGGCTATGTCAAGTGAGTAGATTTTATGTTCACACTTTGCAGCAAATGTTAAAACTCCACTTGTCTCCATCTACAGATAACTTGATACATTCCCCAAACCATTGAGTTCATTGAAAATATAATTCCTTAGTTCAAAATAGTTCTTAGTTTCGTAAATGCTGAGGTATTTTGTGTGGAGTCCAAGGATTAGTTTTCATGTGCAATGGGGAAGCAGAACTAGGAATCCTATGGTTAAGGACAGCCTAAAGGAGGGCAGGGTCTAGATGTATACCACTTGATACCAACCAGGAAGGCTATGGCTGCCAGACGATGGATCATCGTAATGAACCTGGGATTGGAAATGATACTTAGTAGATCCTGGCAGTGCTAAGGGAGGCAACTGAAATATCTTAAGTATTCTTTACTCTTCACAAGAGTGAATGAGTGAGTGAGTATGGTTTTACGCCGCTTTTAGCAATATTCAAGCAATATCACGGCGGGGGACACCAGAAATGGGCTTCACACATTGTACCCATGTCGGGAATCGAACCCGGGTCTCCGGCGTGGCGTGCCAAGGCTCTAACCACTAGGCTACCCGACCGCCCCTCTCTTCACAAGTTGAAGGTTTCCTGATGAAGAGTCATCACACAAGCATCTTATTCATCAAACATCACCTTACATCCAACAAATAGAGCCACAAGGCCCTGCAGCTCACCTGGCAAGAAAAAATAATGTTATGACCTTCAACCTTATTTTAGACAACATTAGTGTGTGGTTATAGTGGTGCCTTGAACTATTAGGATCTTCGTATAGTCATAACAGTCACACAAAGTTTAAAACCTGTAATTTTTTAAAATAAAACCTTTAAGAAATTTAGATAAGATGTCTTCATAATAAGGCAATGCATTCCAAATTTCAGCTTCATCAGTGAAGCAGTGATAGAAGAGAAGGGATTTAAGATTATGGTTTAAGTGCAACTGTCAATGTTGGGGTTACTGGAGGTCACAGGGTCATGTACTTTTAAGGAGCCCGACAAAAGAAAGAGACTCCTCTTTGACATGCTGTAGGCTACTAGCTACTGCTTTGAGGTCTGAAGCAATGGCTGTTTTGGCTTTGGTCAGCCAATGTGGTAAAACATCTGTTGGCAGTTTGGGCCTGTTTGAGCTTTTTTCACTATTTTCTCCTATATCAAAAGGTACGGGATGGTGAAAGGATGACTCAAGGTCAAAATTCAGAATATCACAATATTTATGTTAGGCCACACTTCTAACTACACTTAGGCCAAATTTCAATACATTTTGGAAAAAAGATGGCTGCTAAATAGCCGTAAATGGGTTTCAAAAGATGGTTAAAATTGAAACGGAATTCTGTGAGCATGTTTTAGAGACACAATAGCTGAGAACATTCATACCAATTTTGTTGGACACATAGTTTCAGTAGAGATGTTGAAAATGCAAAACGTAATGATGGACAGATATGAAGACGGACGACAGAAAATGCGTCACAACAAAAGCTCACTTGATTCTCAGTCAGGTCAGCCAAAAATACTTCATGAAATATTAAATAACAAATTCCATTTTGGTCTTTAGCTTGGTTAATTTTCTATATAGGACAATGTAGCAAATTATATATTGGAAGTGGTCAATAATGTCTCAGGTTATCTCATTATTAAATTGACAACAAGAAAAACAATACACAAACAGTATGTACAATCACTACAATAACAGCTGAGCTGTCTAAAACAGTGGAACTAAAAATAAATTATGCTATGCTGAAATGCGAGGCTATACAATGGAATATACATGATTTATCTGATTACATGTCTAAAGAGCATTTTATCATAACAAATAAATACAAAGTTCTTCCATAGGGAAGTAGTGTCTTCTATACATATATGGTTGTATGGCAACTGTGGACATTACATTGTTTGTTGCCTAACACCACACTTGTAATCGCGTGAGGTCAAGATAAACCAGTGATTGATATTGTAAGCAACGTGTTATCCACAGTTAGGGACTCGCAATAAATCAAGTCTCTAATCCACCCTATCAGGCCCAGTGCTGTGGTTGCTGTGGACCAAGTCTTCCCATAATCCCCATATATAGACATGACAACATTAACTTTGTCCTGACATCACACACTGATCCCATCCAGAACCCTCATATTAGAGGTATTAACACAGTTAATGCCATGGCAGGCATATTGGAGGGAAAACCATTAGTTTGTTCAAACTTGGGAAATTCTTAACATCCCTAATAGTCTTATTCAAAATATTTTAGCACTGCAAAAATAATGTAAAAACTAAGTATTAAAGTCTTTTTGGCGGGTACATTATTTGGTCCTGTTAGCAGTGAAATAAAAGTCACCTTCAAAAACACATTCCTGAATATTATCAATCATAACAACCATAATTAGGAATATTACAATTCAATTTGTAATTCTTTAGCCATAGATTTGGTGGAATATCAGCCTATGTGAATACTGGGATATATCCCAGCGATGTCGTCATACCTCTGCACATTGGCTGCATGATTTCATTATAAATATGCACATAATAAATATTGGTATGACAAGATGATCAGCTACCCCTAGTTCCATGTTGTAAAACACAGTCAGTGTGGTTGTACCCCGTTTTTAGCAGTATTCCTGCAACATCACGGCGGGGACATCAGAAATGGGCTTCATGTAAAACACAGAGACGCGTGGGATCATGGACCGATTCCTGAAACAATTTTGGCCATTTCAAATGTTTTGTAAAGTTTAGTACCATATGACATGCCATTTCGGATTCAGAACTTACTCCATAGAAACGTTTCTAGTCATTGCTGGGGTGTACAGTACTCTTCCGTCACAAATCCAGACCCAAACCAACACACATCAATAGCAGGTAAACCATGGACCTTTGTCCCTCCTCGTACAACACAAGCCTACCTTCTGTGTTAACAGAACCAAACCTTGGCCCATTGTTTCAGACTCTCAGGCAGTTCCAGCATACAATGAAAGGAAGCTCATTTCCTCAACTATCACTTAGCTTGTCTGTATCAGGTAATCAGCGGAGGGTATTTGGCAGGTAGAGCTTTGTCAACATGGGTGTTTTGCCAAATACATCCGATTGATTCACTTGGCACATATACTATTAAACAATAGTTAAGGACCACCTGATTCTTTCATATTACAGTTAATCTGCCACGACAGTGAGTGAGTGAGTGAGTGAGTGAGTTGGGTTTTATGCCACTTTTAACAGTATTCCAGTTATATCACGGCGTGTCAGCTTAATGGGGGAGGAAAGCCAGAAGTGATGCAGGTCTCAGATGTTTACTACTTCGGTGAAACCCACGAGCACAGGTACATAATCAGGATGAACCGGGATTCAAACCCGCAATCATAGGTTTCTGGCGTGACCAAGGGTCACAACTCTGAACAGCGAATAGCGGGGCCTTAGACGACTGGGCCACCCGTGCCCTCCTGCCATGACAGATTAACTACATGTATAGTAATATAAAAGAATCAGGGAGTCCTTACTTCTTCTTTTTTAGCTTTATATAAGAAATTATGACTGTAAGAAGCTTTTTCATTTGCTTTGATTCCAAACAATCTCAAGCTTACTCCTATTTGTGTGGCTATGTCAAGTGAATAGATTTTATGTTCCCAGTTTGCAGCCAATATGTTATGTCTCGTAAAACTCCACATGTCTCCAACAACAGATAACGTGATACATGCCCCAGAAAATTGAGTTCATTGAAAAAAATATTTCCTTAGTTCAAAATCAGATTTTTCTAAATTCCGAGGCATTTTGTGTGGCTCTGTCCAAGGAGCTGTGTGCTATGGGGAAACGTAGAATGTGAGTGAGTGAGTGAGTTGGGTTTAACGCCGCTTTTAACATTATTCCAGTTATATCACGGCGTGTCAGCTTAATGTGGGAGGAAAGCCCGAAGTGATGCAGGTCTAAGACGTTTACCACTTCGGTGAAACCCACGAGCACGGGTATGGTGCTGACAAACCTAGAAACATAATCGGGGTGAACCGGGATTGGAACCCACAATCATAGATTTCTGGCGTGCCCAAGGGACGCAACTCTGCACAGCGAATCGCGGCGCCTTAGACAACTGGGCCACCCGTGCCCCCGGTAGAATGTGAATGCTGCAGTCTAACATTGACCCAACTGGCTGCACATGGTGTAGATATATAAGGAAAATATATCTCTAGCACAACTTGCATCTCTGAAAGGTAGTCATGAACGCATTTGGGTAGAACACATTTTAACAATTACAGATGTGGCCACTCACGCCACAATGTTTACAGTCATTTTTCACAGGGAACAAAGAACAACCATACCCCACTACAGTGAAATCGTGGTAACTCCATTTGCTTACAATAAACTATGGTCCCTGAGGAGTTTCTATGGTAGGGATTTCCTGGTTATACCCCAGGATACTTTGGGCATAGTATTTCTTAGGAGACTAGAACAGTTGAATACACCATGCATGCTACAAGCAAACTAGTCGTAATAGCTCAAACAAGACATGATGTTGGGTCCCTTTGAAATAACAATGTATTGTTTTATTTGCATCCATTCTCAAAGTTTATGTGTAAACGACACAATAAGTTAGCTCCGGTAAAACCTTGACATGGTCAAGATACTGACAATCAATTTATCTACAACTACTCACTCCTTACATGATAAATTTTCAAGAACATTCAGAGTTCACTGAAAAAATCATTATTCAGTTCAAATTTGTTCTTATTTTTATGTAATCAAAGGTGTTTTGTCATGGTCAACGTGTAACAAAGTATTAATTCTATAACAACTATAACATTGTATTGTGAAATTTGCAGTTCCCATTTTCTTTTTTTTAATGATGCTTGCTGCAGTCTAGTGATTCAATATTGGCCTCTAAGCAGGAATGATTACTCTGTTTACTACTAGATCTAGATATATACTACACAAAAAAAGTTAAAGAACACCCGATTTTTTCATAAAACTAGACTTAATCTGTCATGGCACTGAAGTAATATGAAAGAATTGGGTGTTCTTTACTTTTTGTGTGTAGTATATATCTAATGCAGCACCTAACATCCTCAACACTGTGAGTAAGCTGTGGGAGACAAGACAAGACAGAATGAGCCAGTTTCACAGTAAATACAGTTCCATATATACGTGCATCAACACATCAATGTAACACATCTGAAATGCAGATTGCTGAGGCAAACATATCCACTAGCCTGTATCAGTGTAGTTTCCACCCTCCATATCAAGCCTACTTTTGGTGCTGAAATATGAGAGAACTCTCACACATATCCAAAGTCCAATCAGAGAACATTTGACCAATCAACGTGTTCTGAAAACGTGGTTGATGCTTTTGACACAGTCATTGTCTGTCGAATTTGCGTCGACATCATTAAGAAATTAAGCTAAGACAAATATTTTGAAGTGGTTCAAGTTTTCAATCAACTTGCCCGAGTAATTTCATATATTTGAATGCAAATCAGGTTGTCTGCCATAGAAGTCATCACTGTGAAGCCATTAAAAATAAGAACAGCGATCTGATAGGATATCATGTGGTCGTCACTTTGTGAAGCCATAAGAACAGCGATCTGATTGGATATCACAAGAGACACGACTCATCTTCTACACAGGGTAGTGCCCCAATTGAGCCAAGAAAGTAGGCTTGAAATGGCAAGGTAGAAAACAAGGCTTTGATATAGGCTAGTGGGCACTCTTGCCCGGGAAGATGCTGAAAATTTGGCAATATCATACACTATTAGCTCCATGAATACTCATATCTGATCATTAATCATTGTCATGAACTAGGTGATTACACTGACCATCCTAGTTCTATGGCCACATAACATGCGTGAAGTAGTGAACACTCAACTCTGCCAACATTACATGAACTGTAGCCTAACAGTCAAGTTAATCTGTTCTTCATATCATGAAGGTATTGATACAAACATGGATTAAACATTTATGACATATCCAAACCCAAACATAACAACATTAAATATGTCTCATCTGTTATTTCAGCAATACTTGATGTGAACAGATGTATGTAAGATGATCGTTCTACACCACAACCAGGTTTAGGAGAACCTTTTCACAGTCATCAGTCTTCATCATTCAACTGATGCAAAAGATGACACATTCTGAAACACTCTTAAAAAGGCATATTCAAATTTTGTAAAATTTGGCAGAATGGCCACAAAAAGTAAATGAAGTTGTTCTGGGTTTTTATAGATAATTAAACACAACTTTGCTGTATGGGTTAGAATCTCATTCAGTGTGTTTGGTGATGGACTTAAACACAAAAACAAATTTTTCTGATTTCATTTTAAAGTTGATTATGTGTTTTCAAAGTGTGTCAGTATATCATTTTCCCTATGTTTTCCATTGATCTTTGATCGTTCGTTCCAAAAACTCTCTACAACAACTGTGGTCCCAACCTATGGAACATGTAGGACAACTCTTCGTTCAGGCGGACTGAACTCGTCAATGATACAATCATCATCATCATCATCATCATCATATTTCAACACCATCATCATCATCATCTTTCAACACCATCATCATATTTCAACATCATCATCATCATCATCATCATATTTCCACCTCCTTGTCCAAATAGAAATGAAAGCCCTATGGCTGTTTAAAATGAAACACTTGTCAGCTTGTTTTTGACATTGTTCAAACATATCTCAGCTGTAGACACACGTCAGTACAAGTGTGACTGAAAGCTCATTGGCTGTGTGTGACTTGACCACTCCGACACTCAACACGGTCAGTGTGTCCCTGTCAGTGTCAGGTGCTGGCCATTATTACTGTGCCAGATACAGGGCTTAAGTGTAGGTGGAAGCTGATTGGTCAAGCCTGCAGACCAGACACGCTCATTGGTCCTGTAGGGTCATATGATCTTCTGGAGCTACAATGGCACATACACACACACACATTTAAAGTGTCACTAGCACAGTTGTGTAGGATGTCAGCTCTGGGATGCAGGGGCTGTCTCAGTTTCTGAATCAGAGAGGTCGTCGTTATCCGAGGAATTGTCCAAGTTTTCATCAAGCTTAGCTTTTATCACATCCAGTCTTTTCTTTATGCCTTGGTAGTCAAATATCCCCCTCCTTTCTCCAAATGGATCCTGTAAAAGATGTACATCAATATAGTTGAGTATTATAATCTCTAGTGTCTTTTGATATCAAATATATGTACATGAGTCGATAAAAGTTAAAAATCTGAGTCTGCAAGTGTTGATATATTTCATATCAAACGAAACAAGGGCATCATTCTATTTAACATACAAAATCATTTTTCCAACTTGTTAAATTTGTAAACCGTAATAAGCAGTGTCTCATGTGTAAAATGTACTGCTAACCAGCTTCAGCAGCAGAGAGATCAGTGATATCAGTTGCCGTGACGTCACAATGGTCTGCAAAGCATTGGGATGTAATTTCATTGCAGCAGTATCCCCAGTTGGGTTTGCTTGATGTCACCCAAGCACTATACCCTGTGGAGGCCAGGTTTGGATGATATTTTGTTTGTTTGTTTGTTTGTTGTTTTACGCCGCACTCAGCAATATTCCAACTACATGACGGCGGTCTGTTAGTAATTGAGTCTGGACCAGACAATCCATTGATTGACAACATGAGCATCGATCTATGCAATATGGATCGAAGATATGCATCAATAAGGTCAGCGAGCCTGACCACCCAATCCCGTTAGTCGCCTTTTATGACAAGCATAGTCGCCTTTTACGGCAAGCATGGGTTGCTGAAGACCTATTCTACCCCAGATCTTCACGGTTTGGATGACAAAACCTGCTAAACACCAGTTCAATATGCAACTACCAGTACACTGAGAATGAATACAGGCTAACTAAACAGCTCAGGGATTTGTCTGAAGCATACTAGTGGCTGTAGTATGAGCATGCATGTAACTACACCATTGTGTCTACATGAGATGTGGTGCCTCGGAAGACTTGGCTACCTGTGACCTCCTTCAGACACAGAGTTTGAATATCTGTGTTGGAAGCTGCATGTCACTGACCTGCATTGTCTGCCCCTGCTGGTGGCTGTACTTGGTGCAGATGGACTCGTAGTAGTCGTAGTACGTTGGGAACGACTTCTCCATCACCTCCCTGCAGACATAATGGAAATTTTGGAAAATTTAGACATTTCACACAAAAGCAGTTGAGATACTTTATGTTCTGGAAATACAGCAACTATACACATGTACACTGGCTGTACTTACACATCTGATGCAGTGTCAATATCTTCAGAGCCATGTAAATTCTCAAACAGGAAACAGTGCAAGTGTTGCCTTACACAAGAAAAGAAAAGTGTTGCCTTTTACAAGCAAAGCAAAAGTGTTGCCTTTCACAAGCAAAGCAAAAGTGTTGCCTTTCACAAGCAAAGCAAAAGTGTTGCCTTTCACAAGCATACCACAAGTGTTGCCTTTTACAAGAAAAGCAAAAGTGTTGCCTTTCACAAGCAAAGCAAAAGTGTTGCCTTTCACAAGCAAAGCAAAAGTGCTGCCTTTCACAAGCATACCACAAGTGTTGCCTTTCACATGCAAAGCAAAAGTGTTGCCTTTCACAAGCAAAGCAAAAGTGTTGCCTTTCACAAGAAAAGCAAAAGTGTTGCCTTTCACAAGCAAAGCAAAAGTGTTGCCTTTCACAAGCATACCACAAGTGTTGCCTTTTACAAGAAAAGCAAAAGTGTTGCCTTTCACAAGCAAAGCAAAAGTGTTGCCTTTCACAAGCAAAGCAAAAGTGTTGCCTTTCACAAGCAAAGCAAAAGTGTTGCCTTTCACAAGCAAAGCAAAAGTGTTGCCTTTCACAAGCAAAGCAAAAGTGTTGCCTTTCACAAGCATACCACAAGTGTTGCCTTTTACAAGAAAAGCAAAAGTGTTGCCTTTCACAAGAAAAGCAAAAGTGTTGCCTTTCACAAGAAAAGCAAAAGTGTTGCCTTTCACAAGCAAAGCAAAAGTGTTGCCTTTTACAAGAAAAGCAAAAGTGTTGCCTTTCACAAGCAAAGCAAAAGTGTTGCCTTTCACAAGAAAAGCAAAAGTGTTGCCTTTCACAAGCAAAGCAAAAGTGTTGCCTTTCACAAGCATACCACAAGTGTTGCCTTTTACAAGAAAAGCAAAAGTGTTGCCTTTCACAAGCAAAGCAAAAGTGTTGCCTTTCACAAGAAAAGCAAAAGTGTTGCCTTTCACAAGCAAAGCAAAAGTGTTGCCTTTCACAAGCATACCACAAGTGTTGCCTTTTACAAGAAAAGCAAAAGTGTTGCCTTTCACAAGAAAAGCAAAAGTGTTGCCTTTCACAAGCAAAGCAAAAGTGTTGCCTTTTGCAAGCATACCACAAGTGTTGCCTTTCACAAGCAAAGCAAAAGTGTTGCCTTTTACAAGCAAAGCAAAAGTGTTGCCTTTCACAAGCAAAGCAAAAGTGTTGCCTTTCACAAGCAAAGCAAAAGTGTTGCCTTTTACAAGCAAAGCAAAAGTGTTGCCTTTCACAAGAAAAGCAAAAGTGTTGCCTTTCACAAGAAAAGCAAAAGTGTTGCCTTTTACAAGAAAAGCAAAAGTGTTGCCTTTCACAAGCAAAGCAAAAGTGTTGCCTTTTACATGCAAAGCAAAAGTGTTGCCTTTTACATGCAAAGCAAAAGTGTTGCCTTTTACAAGCAAAGCAAAAGTGTTGCCTTTTACAAGCAAAGCAAAAGTGTTGCCTTTTGCAAGCAATGTACAAGTGTTGCCTTTCACAAGCAAAGCAAAAGTGTTGCCTTTCACAAGCAAAGCAAAAGTGTTGCCTTTTACAAGCAAAGCAAAAGTGTTTCCTTTCACAAGCAAAGCAAAAGTGTTGCCTTTCACAAGCAAAGCAAAAGTGTTGCCTTTTGCAAGCAATGTACAAGTGTTGCCTTTCACAAGCTTGTCTTGTATGTTGAAATCAAGTAAGAACAATGGGACTATGGTTCTGACACAAGGGGCCATTGAGGTAAGGGAACAAAGGGAGATAACTCTTCACAATTACTGTAAATCTTTAAATTAATGCATCTCCAAAAGAATGCGACCACTGGCCCCTAGCCAAAAGTGCGACTCAATATGAATGCGACAACTCCCCTCCTCTCAAGCATCAGTGGATTTATATCTAAAGAAAATTTCCTCTGTCAATTTACAGGCGAATCCTCACCTTAATCCAACCCTACATTAATCACATGCGCAGTAGCATTAGAAGGCCTGTGTTGACAAATTTACGCCCTCACTTACCCAGGAAGGAAGATACCACTTATCTCATTATATACAGTTACACTGACAGTTTGACTATGTTTGTGCTCCCTCACTCACTCAAGCAAAACAATAGGATAGACTACATCCACAAACATTAACCCCAGACAGGTGGACGTCTACTGAACACAAATGGCAATATGTATGATAGATAATTAAGTTTAGTCATTTTTTGGTTACTTAAATTTAGGCAGGGATATTTATCCTAACTACCTTTAAGTATTGGGGGACGAAAAGTTGTAAAAACAGTAACTAAGGCATGAATATAAAAAAAAAATCAAATTCAATCTTCTAAGTATCTGTACCATTAAATGATGAGTATAATGTCTTACTTGAGGGCAGAGGGACAGACGGAGTGATCGTCCAGCATGTCGCACACTGCCACACGCAGTGTCTCGTGACAGATGATCTCGTTGTATCGCTTGGCGTCACCTGCATTCCTTTCCTGAACATAGAACATGCATGATATACAACCTACCCACTTAGTTTGTTCATAAGACAACAACATGTTAAGGGTACTAAATTCATCTGTGGGTCCACCAGTAGAGCTGAGTGTCACCTGATATTTCACGATATGATATGTATCATTATAAGGGCTGGTCCCAATACATCACAACAAATAGTACAAAATAATGAAATCACTGAAACACAACTGAACACAACACAAGCTTTTGCTAAATATTGATTTATTATTATCTCAAAAACAAACACCTGTCTCAACAAGAAACAAGAACAAAACAGTTTTTAAAAAAGGGATAGTTATTATATGTAATAGATAATGGATGAGTCCTCTGCCACCATGTCCTCGTGGTGTGCAATGTTTACCAGTTACTCTATGCTACTGTCTGTCATTATGGAAGGTAATTCCTGTTCTATTTATAGTGCATCACGATCTCACAAACTAATGATTGGGGTTAGTATCATCTGTACCTACGTATCCATGAATCGTTACACATAGTTACCCTTTCAAATCCAGGTTCGTTGTGGTAGGGCTTCTCGTTGAGCAGAGACTGGATTGATATGAGAACTGTGGACAGGCTCTGGGCGGGGCTCCAGGCAGGGCCAGACCATGTTCTGCGGGGGATAACTAGTGTTATCACATAAGCATACTCTGAGTGAGTGAGTGAGTCAACAGAAGGTTGTTTACCACACAGCAATATAGCAGTTACATCCTGACAGCCTGTAAAGAATAGAGTCTCAGCCAGGCAGACCAATGATATAATACCACAGCATTAACATCATACGCTATACAGGCTGATACACTGTAGCCACCTGATTTTAGTCAGCTCTTACAACAAGCACATGGAACTGACTGACTTCTATTCATTTACTAGTTTCACTCTGAAAGAGAGAATGAGAACCCATAAGTTAACAAAAGTCAAAGGGCGGATCCAGCATTTTTGAAGGGGAGGGGTTCAAAATATCAAAACCCTCTAAGTGGGGGAGGGTCTACAACATATTACATTTGGTTTTAAATTTTTAAAAGGCCCCCCCCCCCCCCCCCCCCCCCCCGATCCGCTTACCACTTATGGACACCCAACACACCTTGACATTAGCACCAAACAAGTTGTTCCAGTTAAACTAAAACAATACCACCAACATGACAAGTGCAGTTCATTCATTGTTACTGTGACAGTGGAATACCGTACCCGATGATACTAAGGCACACTTTCCCATTCTTGTAGAGGTTAGGGTTGAATCGAACACGCCCGTCCCCCGTTGTCATGAGCTTCACCCGGGGCGGGTGGATGGGGTAGTCTGGGGGACAACGGATGAGGAAGTAGAAGAACCCTCCTTCATATGGGGTGTCGAACGGGCCAGTTATCAAGGCATGGATCTACAAGAACACATTGGAAACTCTTTAACTTACCATCACTTATGACATACATACTGCAAAGAAAATGTGAGAATTTGCAGAGTGAGTGGATGAGTGGATGTGGTGAATGGTTTTATGCATTAGTTGCACATTTACAGTTACATAACAGGTGTGAGGTGAGGTGAAATGGGGTTTAACGTCATGTTCAAGATTATTGCATTTATGTAGCGATGTGCATGCATGTGTTAGTGTGTATGTGGCTGATTGTACTAGTTCGGACTGAATACCCCACTCAGACACAGTATACTGACTCTGAGCCGACCAGTGCCTGTTTTAGCCCCTTAATGCCAAGCACCAGACAGGGTAACAACAAGTACCATCTTTTAACGTCTTTTGGTATGTCGAATGGCATATAAATGTTTGTTGGTTTGTTATTTTATATGGCACTTAGCAATATTCCATGCCATATCTCGTTGATCCTCAAATAATTGAGTCTGGGCTAGGTAAATAATAGGTTAAGAAAAGCATAAAGCAGGGGCTAGTTACTGCCTATCATCATGGAAATCCAACATTTCAGACATCCAGCCCATGTGGGTGGAGACACATGCATGTACCAGGCAGTACCTTTGTGATGTCCTCCTTGTCAGGCACAATGCACATCCCCGGCGGCGGCTCGTTGTAGATGGTCATGATATCTCTGAAACATAGTAGATGGTCATGCTATCTCTGAAACATAGTAGATGGTCATGATATCTCTGAAACATAGTAGATGGTCATGATATCTCTGAAACATAGTACATAGATGTAGATGGTCATGATATCTCTGAAACATAGTACATAGATGTAGATGGTCATGCTATCTCTGAAACGTAGTACATAGATGTAGATGGTTATGCTATCTCTGAAACATAGTACATAGATGTAGATGGTCATGATATCTCTGAAACATAGTACATAGATGTAGATGGTCATGATATCTCTGAAACATAGTAGATGGTCATGACATCTCTGAAACATAGTAGATGGTCATGGTATCTCTGAAACATAATTGATGGTCATGCTATCTCTGAAACATAGTTGGTCATGATATCTCTGAAACATAGTTGATGGTCATGATATCTCTGAAACATAGTTGATGGTCATGATATCTCTGAAACATAGTTGATTGTGATGCTATCTCTGAAACATAGTTGATTGTGATGCTATCTCTGAAACACAGTTGATGGTCATGATATCTCTGAAACATAGTTGATGGTCATGATATCTCTGAAACATAGTTGATTGTGATGTTATCTCTGAAACATAGTTGATGGTCATGATATCTCTGAAACATAGTACATAGATGTAGATGGTCATGATATCTCTGAAACATAGTACATAGATGTAGATGGTCATGCTATCTCTGAAACGTAGTACATAGATGTAGATGGTTATGCTATCTCTGAAACATAGTACATAGATGTAGATGGTCATGATATCTCTGAAACATAGTACATAGATGTAGATGGTCATGATATCTCTGAAACATAGTAGATGGTCATGATATCTCTGAAACATAGTAGATGGTCATGCTATCTCTGAAACATAGTTGATTGTGATGCTATCTCTGAAACATAGTTGATGGTCATGATATCTCTGAAACACAGTTGATGGTCATGATATCTCTGAAACATAGACAAAAGGCTACATGATACATCTAGTTTGTTTTATTTTACATCACTATCTCAAAATCAAAGTCTGAAATAGATTTCTGGGGCAATAACACTTTTTGTGTTTTTTAACCATCAGACAGACTGTGCTAAAAGACTCATATCTACTGACCTGAACTATTATTTTGGGACCATTTTAAGTAGATTTTACTGTTGATATCAAGGACTTTATAAGCTATAGCTTACTTGACTGAGGAATTTAGTTCGTTTCAGGCTTCAGGGTAATGGATAAAGTTGCAGCCTGATAACAAAAGGACCCCCTCTTGAAACTTGTTCCATAATCCTCCCAGTAGTTTAAGAACATAACATTTTCTCTAATAACAGAAACTTCAGTAAACACGGTCACCATAACAGTGCTATTAAATGAATTTGTAACAGAGTGTAATATATCCTATTCAGAAGAAATTAAAGAACACCCAATTTTTCATATGATTATAGTTAATCTGTCATGCCAATAAATCAGGTGTTCTTTAACTTCTTTTGAGTAGTATATTATTTGTAATACCGGGTTCCTTTGCTATTGCCCAGGCAAATAAAGCGCGGGAGTAGTGCACTTTACCGGGCGCACTTTTTCAGATCCAATTAGCGCTGTGGGGGCTCAAACGCGCTTCGCCGGCTCACCGTCTCTGCTAATTAATGCGTTAATTAGCTGACGCTCTACCACTGGACCACAGGCGCTATCACATGTAATCAGTGCTCGTTTAACGGGTCATTAGAATCCCCATTGACATGCATGCGTAATTCAGTAAACAATGAATTGCGCATGCGTGTGACATCACGGTCCGCTCTCCCATTCATCTTTTCTTGAAACCACACCCGCAATTGTTTATGTCAACATGACCGACCAATGGAATTAACCGGATTAACGCTTGAAAAGGTAAGAATTTATGGCTAACAGAAAAGGGGTTTTGGATCGTAAAGACGTGTAAGTTTCCCTAAGACCGAAAAGGGGTTTTGGATCGTAAAGACGTGTAAGTTTCCCTAAGACCGAGAACGGGTGTTAGATCATAAAGATGTGTAAGTTTCCCTAAGACCGAGAATGGGTGTTGGATCGTGAAGGGAGAGTCACCAGAGCGTGAGGCACGGTAACGGTATAACGAGACAGCGGTGGCACTATAGCGCGGTAATTGAGCGGATGGTAGAGCTCGGGCTGAGCCTGGTAAACTGCATTGTTGCCTAAAGCGCTAACTCAGTCATAGCGTGTGGTAAAGCATGGCTCCCTAAATTCCCATACATTTTAAATAAACTCAAGTTTCACACTGACACATTGATTTTTCTCCATTGTGAAAAAACATTACCAGATGATCACCATGAGCATGCAACACCAGAAATACCAGTTAACAAATCCGAACTGAAGTACACCAGTTAATCCTTTTATTACACGAACGGTTATATAAACATGTTCATTGATATCCGGACTTATGTTTGTAATATATTTGACTTATTTTATTCAAAATTTCATTCAATATCGTGACATAAATTTCGTTGAAATCGTGTGTGAAGTGATCGGTAGATCGCAAAACTCACTGTTATTTACAGCAACACGAGTTACCAAAGTAATTTTTCCACACTGATCCAGCTTCTTCATTTACAAATAACACTTATAAGCGTACACCAGAATTTAACACACTTCACTCCATATGAGGTCAGGTGAGGTGAAATTGGGTTTTACGTCGCGTCCAAGATTATTGCACTTATATAGCGACGTGCATGCACGTGTATGTGTGTGTGTGGCTGCTTGTACTAGTCCGGACTGATGCCGATTTATAGTGCTAGCTCACTGAGATACCATGCCGCAGTTTAACATGAATACCCCACTCAGACACAGTATACTGACTCCGAGCCGACCAGTCCTTGTTTTAGCCCCTTAATGCCGAGCGCAAGACAGGGTAACAACAAGTACAATCTTTTAACGTCTTTTTGTATGACGCGGCCCGGGATCGAACCCTGGACCTTCCGCTCTCCGGGCGGACGCTCTACCACTAGACCATGGAGGCGGTCTTCACTCCATATGATAATCCACATGTAAACAAATCGTATCCCATTTGCATGGATCAATGCTCATGATGTCAATCACTGGATTGCAGAGCTCCAGATAAGCTGCGTATCTGCGTGAAATACGCATCAGAAATGCAGATATACGCAGTAAAATATAATCCAAGCGTATCAAATACGCAACGAACATTACAGATACGCTACAAAAATAAAATTTGTGTGTATCATCAAAATATTGTGAAGTAACCCTGCGTATTCGATTAGCAAATCAGCAACTTATTTTGAAATTATAAACGGGCATTCCGTCAACCTTGCCAAACTCCACGATGACAGTCACATCATGATCATTTGCCATCACACTTTCGTGTGGAAGTATCGTGGTATTTTTGAGACCTATAAAGCTCTCGAACCCACACGACACCAGTTTGCAGGGACTAGATGAATAGTGTTTTTAAATATTTAACTTAAATACCCACATGTGTAAAAACTAGTGGGTAACAGAAATTTGAATACGCAGATAGAATAACTGATACCCAATGATTTTAAAATGCATGGGTAAAATACCCACAACACCAAAAGCTTATCTGGAGCTCTGCTGGATTGTCTGGTCCAGACTTGATTATTTACAGACCGCCGTCATATAGTTGGAATATTGTTGAGTTGCCTTGTTAAACAACAAACAAACAAAACATGTAAACAATATCTTCCACACTCAGCCCATATTGCTGTGCAAGGTACATATTTGCCAGAGCAGACCTGATGAGGGAGCTTGACTGAGCCATCTGGACCTGAGCCCAAGGGTTCATAGAACCTCTGCATTTATGTATATGGAATATGATATATACTCTATACTTGTATACATATTATATTTTCTCTGAACATCATATCTTCATTGATCAACCCACAATGACCAAAATGTCTTCAACATGTATTTAAAATTAATCATCTATTCTTTATCATTAAGCTCTCAATAAATTAGACATTTATAAGCATTATCAAAACACTCTAACCAACAAGTTGATAAAGCCACTGTCTTGTTGCTTGATCTTTACTTCAAGCTTCTTTTCATATGTTTATAGATTGGTAAATGTTCAGGTATCAATGCAAATATAGTTTTTCTTAAAGACAAGTTAAAATGAAATTTAGGGTAATGTATTCACAATTTGTCCAGTTTTACTATCCTAACTGTTTGGCCCCTGTTTACGATCTTAGGGCACAGTGCTAGTGGAAGCATGAACACCTGTTAAACTGCAAATATATTCAGAACACACCACTGGTGCAGGATAGGGATGAACTGGTTATCATCCACACTTCGGCTGTTTAACAATAATGAACAATTATTGAGTATAATTAGTCTGTGATTATTTAACCAACTTGGCAAATTGTGAGTAGGCATATAGCAGTCTGTCCCAAAAACCCTTACTTTCTGACCTAATGAAACTTAACAGAATTTTACTAGGCTCAGTCTTCGGACAAGTGGCTTCAGTCACAGACTGACTGTGCTTAAGGGAATGAACACTTTTACTTTGTATTCATAACATATTCGTCACTGTTTCTCAAAATGAAAGCGTGAGATTTCCCAATCTCATTAATATCAGATCTCAGTTCTCACTACCGCTAAACAAAGATATCCAAAAAATGCTTTCACTTCAGGGATACGTTTTATTATTATTAAACTATAACCATCAGGGGCATTTCCAAATAAGAACATCCGATGAGCTTCCACCGTTCTTTTTGTCTGTTTGTTTAGACTGAAGAAATTAATTAACATGCGCCCTTTTTCAAAATCTTCATACATCACGGGTAACCAATCAGCATCAAAAAATGCATAAAACAGATATTGCCACAAAGTTTATTTACACTGTCCTTACAGCGGTAGCAAATCGACTCACAGCAGCTAGTGAGCCCAAGAGGGCAGTGTTAGACAGCTGAGAAGAAGCCAGAGATTAGTGCCCCTTTAACAAAGATCTGTTAACATACTTTAAAAAAAGCAACCAACAACAAACATTCATCTGTTTGAATAATGTCTAGTTTTTAACAGAAATCCCCGCATGTCATTTCACTTTCTGGATATATCCTGGTTGTTATTCTTGTGATTCATTTACAACATTAAAGGCTAACTGAAAGAATGTATACCGCAGAAATCAGATATATATGTATATATAATATTCACAACAAAACCTTTGATATTAACTTCATATCAGGTGTTCACGCAGTTCACGCAGCAAGACAAGTGACTGGCAGTGAGGTCTAAAACACGGAGTGAAATGGAAATAAAATCACTCGGTCAATCAACGTTGGCATTTTCGAATCGGTATAGTTAAACACCGTAATTCGGAACAGCTAGATAGTCCATGTTCGGATTTTGGTTTTCGGAAAGGGAAACTGTCAAAAATACCATTATGTCTAAGAACACGGAAATATCGCTTTTTTAATTTGATCGATATGTGACTAATGGCGTTGCGTACCGCTTAATTCTGAGAATACATTGCTGCGTAGGTTTTTCTTTGTCCCAATCTTTACAGTGACATGGGTCCCAGTGAGGCCACTTCAGAGAAGGGCCTTCATCTGTTGCTACCAGGTCCAGCGTATCTTCCAAAGCAGTCGCCATGTTGCTCTTATTCCGACTTCCTCTTTGCCGCACTGACCTCAAATGTCTTGTGAATAAATGATACAGAATATAATTTGATATAAATAGGGAATTCAAATTCCAAAAAAACATCTAGGTTAATGCAAACGATAAAATTTATCACCTTGACGAATAAAAACCAATCGCTATAACTTCGGATCGTAACTCCGTATTCCCAAACATCAAAATAAACACAAGGAAACAAACTTCTCATTACTGGCAGGGAAGTCCTTTTTCAAAGATGACGACAAAGTTAAGAATTCATGGCGTGATAGTAACTAATTGTAATTGTCAATTACATATCAGATTATTTTTTATCGAAAACATAGAGCCAAACTTTATTTTGTAGCGGACATTTTCTTGAGTGATAAGGTCGTAAACGTTCGTGGGACGTTTCGCGCACCTGACAAGCGTCATTTCTAAATTTAGACTTCATTTGTCACGTGATAGCAGTTGACCAATCAATTTGTCCGAATTTATGCTGAGGTTCGCAGACGTTAGCGAAACGTTTCTTCGGTATATAGTCAACGCGGAAGGTTATGTGCGTGCAGTTGCAGTCCTGGCAGCGGTAGAGGAAGGTGTACAGCTCTGGTTAAGGATTTTGGTAACGCATTTGTTGTTGTAACACGTAATTTGTGTACCTGTCAAACTCCGGGTAGTATCGTTGATTAATTTGACGACATATTAGCCGAATATTTCAGTTTTGTTGTGTTATTCGCAAACTTGGGATCACTTTCAGAAGGAATTTTCCAGAATTCAAAATCTTGAGTAAGTCGTACTGAAATGGGCGAAATGGCGTTATCGTTTGATGATTTACTGAAAGTCGAGTGTGGTATGGATGTACCTCTAGATATGGACATCCCAGATAACTTGTTTGATTTAGATAATTCCTCAAGTGAAATTATTCAGGCAGGCACGACCGGTGACAAGTGGCAGAAGAAGTCGCCATTTCACGAATCGGACAGTGGCATGTCGGAAGACTTGAATAGTGTAGATCTTAACAGCCCTCAGAGCGTTACTGATACATCAGGAAAAATGCTGGATGAATTTGTGGACGCTTTAGATTTTGAGCCCTTCTGTCATGGTGCTGATAAGGACCTTGCAAACTATTTTTGTACTGCCCAGTCACCAGAATCTGAGGAGGAATACACTGATATCAGCAACAACCACCCAGAAAGGACTCTCAGAACACAAACATCTGTCAGTAGTTCTAGGTCAAGTTCACCTGAAATTCCACAGAAGACACTACGTGGTAGGGTAGTTCAGAAAAGTGGCAAAACTGCTCCTGTTTCCTCAAAAACTGTTCGTAAGTCCTCTCCACATGACTATGTGACGTCCTCCCAACCAACAGGTATTCAGTCTGTGAAGGTTTTGAAAGTTATTAAGACCTCTGGTACGGCAAATACAGCCACAGAGGTGTTGAGGGCCCTGGATGACCGAAACAAGAAGAATGCGGTTCAGGCTAAAATCAACAGGGAGAAGAAGAAGCATTATATCAAAAGTCTTGAGGACCAAGTCTCTGAACTTACCGATGAGAATGGTCAGTTGAAAGTGGAGAATGACTCTATGAAGAACAGAAACACTTCCTTGGAGGAGGAGGTCCAGTACCTGCGAGCAGTGTTGGCAAATGAAAGCAGCTTATCGAGGTTGCTAGGTAACATTGAAAATGTTCAAAATGTTAAACTGAAGTCTTCATTTGCCTCCCGCAAACGCAGTGCTGCTATGGACCATGACTACACCCCCAACAAGAAGAGCAAGCAATCTCACTCTACTGCTGGTGTGTGTCTGCATGTGGACAATGACACAGTATCTTTGGAATTCTGTTCAAAGTGTTCTAAGATGGCAAAATCAAGTGACGAAGATTGACATTAAAGCTAAGCCAGGAGATAGTCTCCATTGCAAAGTGCTAGTCTGCTTGAACCAACCAAGCAGAAACCAAGCCGATTGTGCTGGCCATGTACACAAGTGACTTCCAGGCACAGGACCTCAGTGACGAAATGTCACTGCAGTTTTGTACATTGTTGTATGATAATGTCCAGTGACTTCCTGCCATGGGACATCTGAAAGTGGTAAAAATGTCACGACAGTAATGTAAATTGTTGTATCATATATGAGAATTTGCAGATGTTGATGTGAAAATGTTTTGTTGCAAGTTTCCAATTGTTAGCAGTCATGGTGAATTGTTGATGTTTGACACATTTGGTCTGATCTGGCAATCTTGCAACATTTCTTTCAGAAGCAGCAATGAAGCAGTTTTGGCTGAGTGTACATATTGCGAGAGATTGCCATTTCAGCGACAGGATTGATATGTTATTCAATTGTGACTTTCCATTTTAGGGGAGCAAGCCAATGGGGGAGATCTAATCTCGCCGAGATGAATGCTTGGCAGAATGTTTGTTTATTCGGTAAGGTCCCGCCACAGTTTTAGTATGTTCTTAGATTGGCAACTTTCATAAAGATTTCTTTTTAAAAGTTACTGTTTGGCTCATGCTTTCAAAATTGTGGAAGAATAGTTGCCAGTCTAAGTTAGGGTTAAGAAAAGAGAAAAAAGACCATAATTTTGCATGCCTTTCATGTTAAATTAAGTAAGACTATTTAAATTTAAGACATTTTTTCACTAATGTCCAAAGATAATGTGAGATGCAATTTACAAGATTTGAGGGTGGAAACCCCTCTTGTACATATGTGTATGTTGAAGTTCCGCAGAGAACTTACACCTTACCTTTGTTATGCAGCTTCCTGTGTGCGTGAAGAGCCAAGAACTGTAGTAGAGAATCATTGAGAAACCAAGAGTATGCCGAGGGCATGGGTAATGTTACATTGGTAAGATACTTGCCAACAGGTAACATGGGTTTGGTAAGGCTCGTGAAGAAAAATGTAAAGTTAAATAGAATTTTTTTAAATTCATGAAATTTGTATATTTTTTTGTCTTATTTAATTCTTTTTGGTTTAATTTTACATTTTTCTTCACTCTGTTCAAATAAAGCATTATGATGACCATTTGTATTTCAACGGTTGGTATGCCCATTTAAGAACTTTTCTGGAAAATCTGGAAGTAACATTTTACTTGTGGCCATGTGGTAATCATCTAACCTTTGACATCATAGGAATTAATTGAGCATGTACATTATTGCTCATTGAAATTTTTTTTATCTTTTCAAGTCCGTCCATGTGCTTATTTGAGCAGACGAGTCTGGTTGTTCAAATGATTTTGTTGGATATGGTAACATCAATCAGATCTTGACATAGTCTGTAATCTAGTGAATTGAATTCATATATGATCATGTTGGGCAATTGCTTTCATTTTGCATATGAAACACTTTCTGTGTATGAATAAAACTGTAATTATGAACATTTAAAACATGTTTCCTCCTTATTTGCGATGTATGTTGGAGGTTGTATGCCTTGAACTAACCAGTGTTGCAGATGGAGAGAAGTGGCTATAGAGCATGTAGAGTGCAGAGAGTTGGAGACAATTAGAGTGTTGATGGTGAGAAAACTTTATCATTTATTGGCCAAACTTTGACAATAGTTTAGTATGGCAGTTGTGTAGCAGTTTGCCATTATATTAAATTGTGATGTTGCCTTTTGGCATACTAGTTAATAATGTGTGTGGAAGATAGATCTGCCGTTTGGTCAGTTGAATTCATGACATGGCTGCCATGTTTCCAAGAGTTTGTTGATATTTTACTGACATCGTTTTATCTTTGAACATCCTCTTATTTCAGTTGTTGCGGTGTCTCTCTAAAGATATTCTGGCGATATTTGAGCTTGGATGATTTGAAGTCAACTTCTGTAGATGGATAGTGATCTAATGAAAAAAATCTTTTGGTTGTCTCAAAATTATCTGACATCAAACAGGTTCTGTCTATCCTGTGTCCCAGCAATCCAGAGAAACAATGCATTCAGTCTTCACTACTCTTGATTCCCGCCCGTGTCTACCCCAGGAAAGATTGTCATTCATGTTCGGATGGTGCTATGATCAATGTTATGTAATAGGTTGTTCCTGCAAAGCACAGGATAGTTTTTGAAGTAGGCACAGGAGGAAAAGTTCATTATATTCACCCATCAAGTAACTGGTACAGGGTCACAACTCCTGATGCACAAGGGGCGGTCGGGTAGCCTAGTGGGTAAAGCGTTCGCTCGTCACGCCCAGGACCCGGGTTCGATTCCCAACATGGGTACAATGTGTGAAGCCCATTTCTGGTGTCCCCCAGGTCTTGGTAATGCTTGAATATTGCTAAAAGTGGCGTAAAACCATACTCACTCTTGAAGCACAAATCAGGTGTTTCTGCCAATGTTTTTTTCCCCATGGAGATTCTGGGTTACAGTAGGTCCCAGGTAAATGTAGTAAGACGGGTCTGTCGGGTCCTTGGTTACAGTAGGCCACAGGTAACTGTAGTAAGACAGTTATGTGGAATCATGGATTACAGTAGGTCACAGGTCACTGTAGTAAGGCGGTTCTGTGGGATCCTGGGTTACAGTAGGTCCCAGGTAACTGTAGTAAGATGGTTCTGTGGGATCCTTGGTTACAGTAGGTCCCAGGTTACTATAGTGAGACGGGTCTGTCGGGTTCTTGGTTACAGTAGGTACCAGGTAACTAGTAAGATGGTCCTGTGGGAACCTTGGTTACAGTAGGTCCAAGGTAACGGTAGTAAGACGGTTCTGTGGTGTTCTGTGTTACAGTAGGTCCCAGGTAACTGTAGTAAGATGGTTCTGTGGGATCCTGGGTTACAGTAGGTCCCAGGTAACTGTAGCAAGATGGTTCTGTGGGATCCTGGGTTACAGTAGGTCCCAGGTAACTGTAGTAAGATAGTTCTGTGGGATCCTTGGTTGGTAGGTCCCAGGTAACTGTTGTAAGGCTTTTCTTTGGGATCCTGGGTTACAGTAGGTCCCAGTTTACTATAGTGAGACGGGTCTGTCAGGTCCTTGGTTACAGTAGGTCCAAGGCAACAGTAGTAAGACGGGTCTGTGGGATCCTGGGTTACAGTAGGTCCCAGGTAACTGTAGTAAGACGGTTCTGTGGCATATTTGGTTACAGTAGTAAGCAGGTAACTGTAGTGAGACGGTTCTGTGGGATCCTGGGTTACAGTAGGTCCCAGGTAACTGTAGCAAGATGGTTCTGTTGGATCCTTGGTTACAGTAGGTCCCAAGTAACTGTAGTAAGATGGTTCTGGGGGATCCTGGGTTACATTAGGTCCCAGGTAACTGTAGCAAGATGGGTCTGTCAAGGCCTTGGTTACATTAGGTCCCAGGTAACTGTAGTGAGACAGTCCTGTGGGATCCTAGGTTACAATAGGTCCCAGGTAACTGTAGTGAGACTGTCCTGTGGGATCCTAGGTTACAATAGGTCCCAGGTAACTGTAGTAAGATGGTCCTGTGGGATCCTTGGTTACAGTAGGTCACAGGTCACTGTAGTAAGGCGATTCTGTGGGATCCTGGGTTACAGTAGGTCACAGGTATCTGTAGTAAGATGGTTCTGTGGGATCCTTGGTTACAGTAGGTCCCAGGTAACGGTAGCAAGACGGGTCTGTCGGGTCCTTGGTTACAGTAGGTCCCAGTTAGCTATAGTGAGACGGGTCTGTCAGGTCCTTGGTTACAGTAGGTCCCAGGTAACTGTAGTAAGATGGTTCTGTTGGATCCTTGGTTACAGTCGGTCCCAGGTAACTGTAGTGAGATGGTTCTGTGGGATCCTTGGTTACAGTAGGTCCCAGGTAACTGTAGTGAGACGGTTCTGTGGAATCCTGGGTTACATTAGGTCCCAGGTAACTGTAGTAAGACGGTTCTGTGGCATATTTGGTTACAGTAGTAAGCAGGTAACTGTAGTGAGACGGCTCTGTGGGATCCTGGGTTACAGTAGGTCCCAGGTAACTGTAGCAAGATGGTTCTGTTGGATCCTTGGTTACAGTAGGTCCCAGGTAACTGTAGCAAGATGGTTCTGTTGGATCCTTGGTTACAGTAGGTCCCAAGTAACTGTAGTAAGATGGTTCTGGGGGATCCTGGGTTACATTAGGTCCCAGGTAACTGTAGCAAGATGGGTCTGTCGGGTCCTTGGTTACAGTAGGTCCCAGGTAACTGTAGTGAGACAGTCATGTGGGATCCTAGGTTACAATAGGTCCCAGGTAACTGTAGTGAGACAGTCCTGTGGGATCCTAGGTAACAATAGGTCCCAGGTAACTGTAGTAAGATGGTCCTGTGGTATCCTTGGTTACAGTAGGTCCCAGGTAACTGTAGTGAGATGGTTCTGTGGCGTCCTTGGTTACATTAGGTCCCAGGTAACTGTAGTGAGACGGTTCTGTTGGATCCTTGGTTACAGGAGGTCCCAGGTAACTGTAGTGAGATGGTTCCGTGGCGTCCTTGGTTACATTAGGTCCCAGGTAACAGTAGTGAGACGGTTCTGTGGGATCCTGGGTTACAGTAGGTCCCAGGTAACTGTAGTAAGATGGTTCTGTTGGTTACTGTAGGTCCCAAGTAACTGTAGTAAGGTGGGATCCTGGGTTACAGTAGGTCCCAGGTAACTGTAGTAAGATGGTTCTGTTGGATCCTTGGTTACAGTAGGTCCCAGGTAACTGTAGTGAGATGGTTCTGTGGCGTCCTTGGTTACATTAGGTCCCAGGTAACTGTAGTGAGACGGTTCTGTGGGATCCTGGGTTACAGTAGGTCCCAGGTAACTGTAGTGAGACGGGTCTGTCGGGTCCTTGGTTACAGTAGGTCCCAGGTAACTGTAGTAAGATGGTTCTGTGGGATCCTTGGTTACAGTAGGTCCCAGGTAACTGTAGTGAGATGGTTCTGTGGCGTCCTGGGTTACATTAGGTCCCAGGTAACTGTAGTGAGACGGTTCTGTGGCGTCCTTGGTTACATTAGGTCCCAGGTAATTGTAGTGAGACGGTTCTGTGGCGTCCTTGGTTACATTAGGTCCAAGGTAACCGTAGTAAGACGGGTCTGTCGGGTCCTTGGTTACAGTAGGTCCCAGGTAATTGTAGTGAGACGGTTCTGTGGCGTCCTTGGTTACATTAGGTCCAAGGTAACCGTAGTAAGACGGTTCTGTGGGATATTTGGTTACAGTAGTTAACAGGTAACTGTAGTGAGACGGGTCTGTCAGGTCCTTTGTTTCAGTAGGTCCCAGGTAACTGTTGTAAGACGGGTCTGTCGGGTCCTTGGTTACAGTAGTAAACAGGTAACTGTAGTAAGATGGTTCTGTTGCATCCTTGGTTACAGTAGTAAACAGGTAACTGTAGTAAGACGGTTCTGTGGGATCCTTGGTTACAGCAGGTCCCAGGTAACAGTAGTAAGTTGGCCCTGTGGGATACTTGGTTACAGTAGGTCTTAAATAGGCTACATACAACCTTTCACATAATTAGAACAGTGTTAGAATTTGGCACTAGTCCTAAAGTCCTTGCCAAACTGCCCAATAGTTAAGGAATACTAAGGACTAGTAGAAATTTACCCTTTTTAATGGTTTTGCTTTATGTTATCTAGTGGACTAAAACTGTTAGGTTCTACCGCTGTTAGTACCAGTTAACCTTGAACTTCTTGTAGAATGAGTGAGTAGGTAGTGCAGAGTTGGTACAATTATGTGCCTTGTGACTCATGTGATTGGTGTGTGTGTGGTTGTTAGCAGTAAAAAACAAGTCTCTAGCCTAGTCGAGCCAAGTATTAATACACTTGTTTCTAATTTCTGGTTGCATGTTAAGTTTTTGTTGTATGTATATATACTGTCTGTGAGGGGTGAGGCTTTGCTAGGAGGATTAACCCGTATTCTTCATGGCGTCAAAGAGTTGTGTTGAAAGACTTGATGTTTCGTGTTTATTGTAGGGTTTATCTCAGTTATCTTGGTTTGTCCCACAATGTTGTGGAGACATGTAAGCAACCTGTCTTGTGGGTTTACTTGGGTGTCTAGGTGTGTCTTTTTTTATGTATCCTGGACATGTTCAGGGTTGACTGGTCTTTTGAGGTTATGCATGAGGTTCATTTGATGGTTTAGGAAATTTTTGTATGGTTCACAATTGGTTCATATTCAACATTTGACTGAGGGACTTATTCAAAATGCCCTGAGAATATTTGCTACAATTGTCGTAAGTCTGTGTTAAGGTATTGGAGTGACGTTCACCTTAGTGCTTAGATCACTTAGCACCATGGCATTAGCCAAGGGGAGTTTCGTTGAAGGAATATTTTATTTCTGCATGTTTTTGTGTGTTAAAGTCTAAATTGTGATGGTGATTTGTCTTCCACTGGTAACAGGAACAATAAGAAAAGCAGCTTTACTTTGTTAATGTTATTTAGTATTCCAAAGTTTGGACATATTTTTTCAAAATTAATGAACGAGTATTTTAATTATATTTGAAGGATTAAGTATTGCAACAAACAATAATGGATGCTTTGCCTATCAACTGTCTGTTCCAATTGCAACATCACAAGCAAGATAGGTGTAAGTTCAAGGGTTGACTTTGAGGAAAGAGGACACTCAGAATATTAATGACACCTGTGAATTTGAAACAAGCGAGGTTGAAGAGGTATGCAATCAGTGATTAGCTACCTGAAAATGCAAAACATTAATGATTTACAAATCATTTACAAATCATTTTATTGAATTGGAATGAAGAAATTCTGCCTTTTCTTCAATGTGTGTTGAAGGAACATAAGCATTTCAATTAGCTATTTACTAGTTCAGAGTTGATTCAGTAAAGTGTTTTAGTTTGGCCATTTATGGTAAAGTAGGTGAGCTACAGATAACATGCTGTCTGATTCCGTGTTTAGTGACCCACTCTGAAGTCCACCCACCGGAGAGATATCGGAACATGCTAAGATGCAGTTACCACCTGCACCTGCGATTGTCAGCATTGGTCCCAGCAACCTATGCTGGTCGTTACCCGACAATGTCGATCGATCCTCACAATATCAATCACTGGATTGCCTGGTCCAGACTAGGGGTGAAACAATACAGCAAGGTCACAATACCGTACGTTATCTCAATACATGGTTAACGATACAATTCAAATTGCTTGGGAACTTCTTGACTATTATATTTTGAAGTGTTCTGGATGAAAAGATAGCTGAAGACATGATCATTGCTATTTTTAGTAGTGAACTTGGAACACTAATAAGGTCACATTTTGCCATATTTAACAGACAAAATACTGGGGAGGGGATGGGGGTGTCATTAAACAAGTAGTAATACATTTTAGCAAGTGTATCATATTGCTGCATGAAAACATACTATGCACTGTTGCACCTATGTATCGTTCACCCCTAGTCCAGACTGGAATATTGCTGAGTGCAGTATCAAACAAGCTAGAAAGAAGGCAGATGTCTTATCTTGACCACATTGCTAGTGCTACCCCTCACTTCTGTGCCTGGCCTCATTCCAGCTCATGTGACATAGCGGATATATTTACTTGCTCGCACATCCAGTCCTTCACACCAATGCTAGTCTGTGACATGGACAGTCCAAGGCTTGAACTGCAGCCAATTTGACTGAATTGTTTTAGGGGCTACAAAGGTAGAATTGAACCCCACTGTCCCATGCTTGTCTGAAGAACTGAATAATGTAGAGGATTGTGAGGCCAGACACCAAACGAACTCACCATGTGAACACTGTCTGATGCATGTGATACCTCCGACATGTCGATGACAGTGATTGTTGCTCATGTTTTCAATCACCAGTTTGTGTCTGGTCCATCATATGGCTGGAATGTTGCTGTCTGCAGGGTTAACCAACATTCTGTCACTGAGACAGGAAGTATGAACTTGTTAATTCTGTTGTCTGCAATATTCCAGCAATTCCACAACCTGTAATGAGTCAGACAAAGCTGTGATTGATAATTATGAGGAAGCTCGCACACCATCAGGACACAATAATGTATCTTCAGTCACCAAGCCAGTGGACAGGGTGCTAGGAGCTGCTGTCACTGGTCTAGGTGATACCCTGACCTGGTGTAAACTGTACACACAATTAGCACTCACTTTTCAAATTCTGGTCAATTGAAAACCATTAAAAACACTCAATGTCACATTGCAGTGTGGTAATAGAAAACTAGTTTGTCTGAGGTTTCAGAAATTATCCTTGTATTTGGGTCATTTTCAGAATTCTTATTTTCGATCTGCAAAACAAACTGCTTGAATCTCTTAAATGTTATTGTATAGAAAACCTAAACATAATGAGGGTTTTTTAGTCAAATTTTTGACAAAGAAATGTCTTTACCATGATAACCCAGTGTAGAAATAATTGATCATGGACCAGAATAGAAATTTTTCATGAAAGATAACATTCTTACATTTAAGTATATTAACTTATAGAAAACACAGACTTAACCTGCTTAAGAAGCAAAATATATTACTTCAACCTACAGACTGTACCTACTGACCAAATGTTCAATAAAAAAACAAACTTTATTTGAAAGGCCATTTTAGAATAAGTTTTATTTTTGCAACATATTTGGATAAGTTTCTTTGTGGATTTCATGCGAGATTATTTGTATTTTGGTAAATTAAAAAAATATAATTTATGAGTTGTAACGGAATCAGTTTGGCCACAAATGGGAACTGTTAGGACAAATCCATTGATAATTAAAATTATAGCAATGCAGTGATGTGCATCCTCTATGTACATGTTATACTGCATTCTAAGAGTAACTGTTGACATTTAGATCGGAATATCTGCTAGATAAAGGTTCAACACGAAGATGTTTTTTTCATAAAAAGATTTTAGTAACAGTCTACAAGCAAACCTGATAAGACTCCCGATGATTGGCAAGACAGAAAGACGACTAGGAGAAACAGTTGAATTACAACTTGGTAGTATCATGAAGAAGTTATTTGAGGAATTTTTCACATTGGTAAAGGACATTTTGAGGGAGAAAAGTAATAAACTATTGCTGAAATAAAAAGTTAAACATGGTTAGGTCATGTTTATTATCCACTGAAGATGGGAAAAAAAGATGCTTAAGGAAAATATTTTGTGATCGTTGTAACTTGTAGTATGGTAAGACAACAAGAGACGTAACATTTTAACTACACAAAGTACCAAAAAATAATAAAGATTGATAATCCAAATTGAGAACATCAGGTCACTTACTCACAGAATGGTCAGTGAACATTAATACACCATGGAAATATGAGTCGTGTTCGAAACAAACGGGGCAAGAAATCTGACATTCGAAATTTGAGTCGTTTAAACTTTACTACCATTGAAAACCAAGAGCAATCAAACAAAGAAATATTTACACACTTTAAATAGAAACAGCCACACAATTTCCAAACAAAACACAATCCTCACAAAATGTGCATCGTAATGACCCAAGACATTTTCAATGGAGACCCGTAAAAAACGAATGCGTACGCACTCGGTTTCTTCCTCAGCAACCCATGCTTGTCGTAAGAGGCAACTAATGGCTCGCTGACTTAGTTGATGCATTTCATCGTATCCCAATTGCGTGGATTGATGCTCATGATGTCAATCACTGGATTGTCTTGTCCAGATTCGATTATTTACAGACCGCCGTCATATTGCTGAGTGCGGTGTTAAAACAACAAACAAACAAACAAAAGCACTCGGTTTGTAGCGGTCTCTGTGATTTGTTGTCTTTGGTTTGAGGCAGGGTTTTAATCATTACGGTGCACACCTTAAATAGAAACAGTGTGTTCATAGTGGGGTTGCTCTCTGTTGGTTTTCGTTGGTAAGCCTGACATGACTGTATGAAAGTGAAACATTGCACCCATGCAGGAGCCAGCCACAACGCTTCAAGGGGGAATACCTTCATTATGGGCTGAACAGAAGAACAACCATCTTCAGATGACCAAGAACTGAAACACCACCGACAGGGGGGTCGTTCATGACGTCATGTTTTATAAACAAATATATGAATAAACTATCAATGGCTATCTAACAAGGACATTTTTACCCTCAGTCCACATTTATGTTGGTTATGTCGAACCCAGATGCATTAAACTGTTGCGTTTTCATATTAAAATGAAAAATTTATATATATATATGAAAACATGAAGTAAATGTCCTGTAAAGCATCATATACATCCACACGGAATGCATTACCTAGACCTGTTCTCCAGGTCACGGTGCCACTGTACTTATAGGACATTTTTCATAATTTCTCTCTTATTCAAATGGCCAACAACTGATAAAACATCACGGGCCTTTACTCCACGTTAAACGGACACGTCGAAATGTAACTGATACACCGCCTAAACATGCGTAAAAATAAATGACACTGGCGGTGTTAATTTTTCAAATGTAAGTCATTTTTGAAGAAGAAAATCGTATATCAAGTGCATGGAAGGCATGGTTAACTAGAAGAAACGAAGGTGCTGTACGTGAAAAGGTGTGAGAATCAGTGAGGAAACCCAGGTGCGCGTGACGAGAGTAGAAATCCGTGTGTAAGGGTGGAAACTTGGGTTTGGGGGTCGTGCTGGCGAAGGTGAAACTTTGGTGCAGCGACAAGGTTGTACCTGGGGTTTGAGGGTTTAGCGGCGAGTGTAAGGGCGTAGTGACGATGGTTGGATCGCGGGTGTAAGGGCGTAGTGACAAGGGTGGAATCGCGAGTGTAAGGCGTAGTGATGAGGGTGGAATCACGAGTGTAAGGGCGTATTGATGAGGGTGGGATCGCGAGTGAAAGGGCGTAGTGACAAGGGTGGAATCGCGGGTGTAAGGGCGTAGTGACAAGGGTGGAATCGCGAGTGTAAGGGCGTAGTGATGAGGGTGGGATCGCGGGTGTAAGGGCGTAGTGACAAGGGTGGAATCGCGGGTGTAAGGGCGTAGTGACAAGGGTGGAATCACGAGTGTAAGGGCGTAGTGATGAGGGTGGGATCGCGGGTGTAAGGGCGTAGTGACAAGGGTGGAATCGCGGGTGTAAGGGCGTAGTGACAAGGGTGGAATCGCGGGTGTAAGGGCGTAGTGACAAGGGTGGAATCGCGGGTGTAAGGGCGTAGTGACAAGGGTGGAATCACGAGTGTAAGGGCGTAGTGATGAGGGTGGGATCGCGGGTGTAAGGGCGTAGTGACAAGGGTGGAATCGCGGGTGTAAGGGCGTAGTAACAAGGGTTGAATCACGAGTGTAAGGGCGTAGTGATGAGGGTGGGATCGCGAGTGAAAGGGCGTAGTGACAAGGGTGGAATTGCGAGTGTAAGGGCGTAGTGATGAGGGTGGGATCGCGGGTGTAAGGGCGTAGTGACAAGGGTGGAATCGCGGGTGTAAGGGCGTAGAGACAAGGGTGGAATCACGAGTGTAAGGGCGTATTGATGAGGGTGGGATCGCGAGTGAAAGGGCGTAGTGACAAGGGTGGAATCGCGGGTGTAAGGGCGTAGTGATGAGGGTGGGATCGCGGGTGTAAGGGCGTAGTGACAAGGGTGGAATCGCGGGTGTAAGGGCGTAGTGACAAGGGTGGAATCACGAGTGTAAGGGCGTAGTGATGAGGGTGGGATCGCGGGTGTAAGGGCGTAGTGATGAGGGTGGAATCGCGGGTGTAAGGGCGTAGTGATGAGGGTGGGATCGCGGGTGTAAGGGCGTAGTGACTAGGGTGGAAACAATCGATGAATGTCTTTACCAAAAGGAATACAATGATATCGACATTACAAGTCATTGTAGGCAATGTTCTAGTCCCGCACCATGACTGTGGAATATATTTATTGTATGAAAAAACAAACAATCTAGAACCGTAAACAAAATAAAGTCTAGCCAGCTCTAGCTAGCTCTATTCTACATATGAAATCAGTATCGGGAAAAAAAAATAAAAAAATATTTAGTCAAGAAGGGTATTGTGTAATATAAGATCTCATAAGACTAAATGTTAGTCTATCAATGTTCATTTGTGTATTACAAGAGAAAGGATACTCAATCGAATCATTAAACAATTTTATCTTCAACTCGAACAATATCAATTTTATATTTCATTCTTGTCTTTTTCTTCATTAGAATGAAGTGTTGCATTGCTGAATTACGGAAATTGTTTGTGCACAAACGAGAAAGGGCCGTTAAAGGCAGTAGTACATAGACCATAAGTTTTACCCCTGCTCAAAATTATTGTCACCCAATACTAAGACGCATACATCTTGGGAGTGACAATAAGTATTAGTATGGGTAAAGGAACTCCTGAAAATAATATTTACCAATTTTACCATGTCTCTAGGCTACTGGCGTCACGGTAGTTTAACCACGTGACATAATACGTTTCAAGGAAGTAAGTATAGGGTTCATATACTGATGAGATACGTTAATGTGCATCAACCTTGAGGTAGAATTGGGAATTGCCATTACGAATTACATTGATTGACATTATCTCATTACAAACACAATGAACGTAGCTTGAGTATTGTTTCACGTTGTACCGACAGCCCAAACACGCCTCCGGCAATAGTGGATGCACCACTGGCAGACACACAGACAGTAATTTGAGACTCGCATCAACACAGTCGTTAATGCAGCAATATATATGATTTATGATTTACAACACAACAAAGGGTTAATCTGCGACGTCTTGTATTGCCCGCAACCAATAGCCTCTTGGCAGACGACAATTACGGTTTGGTTTAATGATTGAGACTATATCCGTGTCACTCTTACTCATATAACAATCATTATCCATTCGAATATACAGAGAGTAAATAAATCTATATTTGGTTAATCCAACTGTCACTTCAGTCTGAAAAGAGATTATTGCCTACCAACCTATTTTTGTTTTAACGCAGTTTTGAACAGTATTTCAGTTGTATCACGGCGTGTCAGTTTATAGTGGGAGGAAAGCCCGAAGTGATGCGTGTCTCAGAGCTGTACCTTTTTGGTGAAACCCAGGAGCACGGGTATGCTGCTGAAAAACCTAGAAAACCTAATCGGGGCGAACCGGCTTTCGAACCCATGATATTAGGTTTCAGGCGTGTTCGGGATCGGGTGGTCAGGCTCGCTGACTTGGTAGATGCATGTCACCAACTGCGGGGATCGATGCTCATGATGTCAATCACTGGATTGTCTGGTCCAGACTCGATTATTTACAGACCGCCGTCATATAGCTGGAATATTGCTGAGTGCGGCGTTAATTATACAACAAACCAAACCAAAAAAACAAGGGACGCCTAAGGCGACTGGGATTTATGTTAACAATGGGATAAGTGGTAGCAATTTACAGAATTGACTGTATAATGTACAGATACAACAAAGTATAAAGACTTAAACTTCAGCCCCTCGTTGATTAACACATTAACTTTCATCGCTGAAATATTGCCGATGCGACGTTAAATTTTAGTTCACTGACTCATTAACATCTCTACATTCTTTGATATTTTACCGAATTTTCTGTCACATTGTCTACCCGCTTTCTTTAATCAATGAGCTCTGAACAACGACGACGTTTCACACTATTTTCTATTTTCGATAATCACCCAATTACATTCCTCTTAGAAGTGTCAACTGACAAAGCTAATTTGTGTGTACGATTACATGGAGTAAATAGTTGATAGTCGTGTTCGGGTCAACTGTATCCAATAAAAAACTATACAGATAATAAAAGCACACTAAAGATTTTATTCAAAGATACGCTTCACTTATTAGTCTAGAGTTACCTTTCTTTGTAACCTTCACCCAAGAAACTGCGGAGATGTTACAGTGATAATCATTGGCTAAATATTTTGTTAATAACCAATCACTGAAGGCTTTTAATAAAGTCGGCAATGGTGGACAGGGAATGTGATTGAGAAGGTTGTTGTGCGTTTTAATCATAAAACCACACGTTTGTCTGTAAATTAGATTTCTGTCGGCGCAGCCTATTTTAACAGCGAGCTGTGATGGCGTCCATGTTAACACACAGTACAGTGCAACCACAGGTAAATAATTTCATCACGACAATATTTATTTAAAATCTTGTTTCATTCCGCAAGGATTGGCAAATTCTGGTAAAGGGAAAGAAATAAGAGGGTCGAACAAATGATGAAATATGGCTGTTACTTCATTTTCATTTCCCTGTTATTTTGAGCACAACATTTTATTCTTTTGGCAAGACACGATGCCGTTGACAATATCATAAAACACGAGTCGAAAGGGAAGCCGGCTGTTAACAATAGTTGAGAACCATTGATTGTTGCTTCCACAACTGACACTGCCTTGTTGGTATAGTTGTAAATGTGCTGTTAAAAACAACATCCAGATACTTACACAAGCAATATGCATACATGTATGATGAGGACAGACTTCCGTCCGTCCCCCACCCTAAAACATTTTTTGGTGAACCTGTGAAGATCCGGGGTAGACTAGGTCTTCAGCAACCCATGATTGCCGTAAAAAGCCCCCCATGCTTGTCGTAAGAGGCGACTGATGAGATCGGGTGGTCAGACTTGCTGACTTGGTTGATGAATGTCATTGTATACCAATTGCGTGGATCGATGCTCATGATGTCAGCCACTGGAATGTCTGGTCTAGACACAACTATTTACAGAAGTCTGTCATATAGCTGAAATATTGCTGAGTGCGGCATTAAACAACAAACAAACAAAACAATCTTTGTGAAGGCATATGTATGTATGTTATTATTAAGAGGGGGGCAGTACCCATGGTCACATAAGTGGAATATTAAAAACAATATTTACCACAGTTTATTCTTACTCTTCATTTTCATTTTGTCGTCTTTACTTTTGAATCCTTTAGAATTGCACATTGTCGGTCCATATCTTTATGTACGAGTGATAATCCTAGAAACAAATGTCATGAGGACATTTTCATGATTTTACCAAGTTTTGAGGGGATATTCTATCTCAATACCATTATTGAAAAATAACATGAGGACATTTTGGGTGACAATCAGTCGGTGTCCTAGAAACCAATTTGAAATCCTGTGTACCATAGCAGATTATTATTGTTTTGCAGTGTGTCAGTTATTTGTATATTGCTAAATATGTATATGAAACTCAAACAAAACTACACTGATGAAGTGATATAATTAGTTGAACATGTATATTATCTTTTATTTAGGTTGTTGCAGCACTCTCTCAGCTGTCCTCTCTATTCAGTGGAGTACGAACACTTCACACGTCTGTGAGAAGTCGTCACCAGAAAAAAGAGAGGGACATATCTTCAGCTTGTGCAGTTTCTCAAGTCACCAAACCACCAGCATTCCCAACTTCAGAGGTTTGGTTGCTTTACATACTTGTCAGACATGTTTAGTACATTTTGAAGTGTCAAAATAAGATTATTAGTTTGTAATAGATACAATTTGCATGGTTGGGGAGGGGGATCTAGAATCCAAGAGTGTTTTGCGATAACATTTGCTATCATGGCTATAGAGTTACCCTTAGTCTTTTTGTTTATCCATCACATTAGGGTTAGAGAAAGACCTGTTGACTATTATCCTGAACACTGCATTATGTATTATCATGATTATTGATGTTTAAAATGCTCTTATGATGTGTCTATCAGGGATTGACCTGGGTTGTTTTGGGGGGGGGTCAAGTGGACTCATAGCGTTTAATTGTAGGTATTTTATTTATTATGTGATATATGAATATGGAAATCAATTTAAAGTGGTACCAAGTTATGAAATAGTAGCATTCGTTTTCTACATTCCAGTAGATGCACGCTGTATTTGTTTTGCATACATTTTTTAAATTTTTTTGCATGTTGGATGCAGGATTTCGTGGATGATAAATCCCTGGTCAATGGTTTCAGGTGAAAGGTGTGCCCAGTACTGTGGAGCTGGTGGACCTGCCGCGGGATGTGGACAGTGCGGTCCTTAGTCCACTCCTGGCCCTGGTCAAGCAGCAGGAAGCACCCCACAGTCACTGGCATGAGTCCCATGTGTCAGCGCAGACCTTTTTCGAAAACAAAACAGGTTACTATCGTCTACTTATTATTTAATATGAATTTTAAACTGATCCCATCTCATAATATGCATTTCTTCCTTCTTCTTTAGATCCTATGTGGATCACCACCCTAACAAGTGGGTCAAGCACTGTAATCCTGTGCATGGCAACCTACACGACCTGATCATGTGTATGCCGTCCACATTATTCTCTTTATCATCGCCACACTGTAGAAATGTGCACTGAGGGTTCAGAGATTACATTGAGGTTTTTCTGCTGGGTTTTCCCTCACCATCAAATGAACTTTACATTAATGTTTGCGGGAAGATGAGTAGCCATAAGAAACAAGCCTGTCTTCAGTGTAGAACTACCTTTTCTACTTTGGACCCTCACAACTTATGCTGTGACTATCGTGGCCATTGCAGTACTAACAATTGTTGTTCCCTGTGTGCCCATTTTACGGAAGAATCCTTCATTGTTTATCTACACAAGTGCCACAGATGGGAAATTTACCGGCACTCGAAATCTAGGGACTTGGGACATGGGTCATCTTCTGTAAGAAATCTAAGAAGTCAACCAAGTTGGCTGCCTCCATCGGAACAGCCAGCTACATCAGACGTTTGCAAGGTTCTCTCTTCTGTCGATTCGTCCAAGACTGCCTCGACTACACATCCGGTCGACCCTCTTAACGCTCCTTGATCATCTGTTGCTCCGGCTGGTGATGATCGCTTCTCTGCATCCAAACATCTGTTACTGGTCGAAAGGATTCATCCTCTTCTAGGGATCTACTGAGCAAGGATTGATCTCATGCTTCTTCCATGAATAGTGGATCGTAGGGTCGGCGCTTTAAGGATCGCTCACCTAAGGATTGCTCATCAAAGGATCCCTCACCCAAAGTCTGACAGTTGGAGGATCGTTATTCCAGTTCGCCAGGTTGCACTCAGGATTGACACTCTCAGTACTACATTTGGGGGATCGATGCTCTTGCAAGGAAGCTACAGATTCATCATATACCACTCCTGTTCATCATGATTCAGGGGATGACTATTATACAGACTCAGCTGAGTGCTGGTCGACTTTGTGTCATTTCCATCATCAAGCTGAACCAACCGACATCGTCACAAGGCTTATCTCAATGTGGATGTTTATCTCACTGTGGATGTTAATGTCAATGTTGCTGTTACTCTTAATGTGTTTGTTAAGTTGTTAATGTCAATGTGGATTTTAATGTCAATGTGGATGTCAATGTGGATGTTAATGTCAATGTTGTTAATCTTAATGTGTTTGTTAAGTTGTTAATGTCAATGTTGATGTGGATGTTAATGTCAATGTTGCTGTTAATCTTAATGTGTTTGTTAAGTTGTTAATGTCAATGTGGATTTTAATGTCAATGTGGATGTTAATCTCAATGTGGATGTCAATGTGGATGTTAATGTCAATGTGGATGTTAATCTCAATGTGGATGTCAATGTGGATGTTAATGTCAATGTTGTTAATCTTAATGTGTTTGTTAAGTTGTTAATGTCAATGTTGATGTGGATGTTAATGTCAATGTTGCTGTTAATCTTAATGTGTTTGTTAAGTTGTTAATGTCAATGTTGATGTGGATGTGGATGTGGATGTGGATGTTAATCTTAATGTGTTTGTTAAGTTGTTAATGTCAATGTGGATGTGGATGTTAATCTTAATGTGTTTGTTAAGTTGTTAATGTCAATGTTGATGTGGATGTGGATGTTAATCTTAATGTGTTTGTTAAGTTGTTAATGTCAATGTGGATGTGGATGTTAATCTTATGTGTTTGTTAAGTTGTTAATGTCAATGTTGATGTGGATGTGGATGTTAATCTTAATGTGTTTGTTAAGTTGTTAATGTCAATGTTGATGTGGATGTTAATGTCAATGTTGCTGTTAATCTTAATGTGTTTGTTAAGTTGTTAATGTCAATGTTGATGTGGATGTTAATGTCAATGTTGCTGTTAATCTTAATGTGTTTGTTAAGTTGTTAATGTCAATGTTGATGTGGATGTGGATGTTAATCTTAATGTGTTTGTTAAGTTGTTAATGTCAATGTTGATGTGGATGTGGATGTGGATGTGGATGTTAATCTTATATGTTTGTTAAGTTGTTAATGTCAATGTTGATGTGGATGTGGATGTTAATCTTATGTGTTTGTTAAGTTGTTAATGTCAATGTTGATGTGGATGTTAATGTCAACATGTTTCTTTGTTACAGGGTTCCCTGAAGGACATTTACAGTCGACTGTACCGACCTTCCTCCAGATCATGGGCGACAAGGGTTTCCAGAGTTTTCTGAGAGGAGGGTTTGCACCATGTGAGTTTCCAACACCCACTTTGTGAGCTTATTTGTGGCGTTTTCTGTCATTTAAACCATGTGAGTTTCCAACACCCACTTTGTGAGCTATTTGTGGTGTTTCTGTCATTTAAACCATGTGAGTTTCCAGCACCCACTTTGTGTTGTTTTCTGTCATTTAAACCATGTGAATTTTCTTTTACAAAATCTTTTGATGTATTACATTAAATTACTGCTGTTTTGTGTAAAGGGAACAGTTTTAGTTGAGTGTGTAACTCAGCACTCTGGATGTGTACATTGGTGTGAAAGTATGTCCATGGTGAGACCAGACGACTTCTTTCCTTCCAGGTGTGCAGCAGACACGAGGTTTCAAGACGAAGCGATCACAATCGGTGTTGGGGCTAGGCAGGGACAAGAAAATGTCTTTCCTAGATGAACTTCGACATTCAGTAAGAGACTCATCTTCTTTTATCCAAAATGGTCTTTGCCAGATCCATACTAAAATGACAGTTACAAAATTCTGAATGTTGACAAAAATACTGATGGAAAATCTTTGTAAAGTCATGAGGCTAAAATAATGCCTGGGCCTTTAGCGTGTCTAGTAACCTGCTCAACCTATCATTTGTATTACATTTCTTAGTTCACGAAGAAAAGTTGTTGATAGTTAAAATCTTTCTTCCAACTATTTCAGTTTGTAAATCGTATTAACCCAGTCTTGAGTGTACAAAGTACAGCTTACCTGGTTCAGTGGCACAGGTATTAGTAAAGTCATTTGATTGTTATGTCATGGTAACCGATGATTTCACAATGGCCTGCAAATTCATGTCATGCAATTTTATCACCTGCTATCTCCTAGGCCATGTCACTTGATCTCACTCAAACGATATGTTCCGTGGAGGCCCGTTTCGGATGACAAATGTTTATATATTGATACTGAAATTTCGAAAAACAATGACTACCCATATATATATACTCCCCGCCAAAAGAAACATGAACCACAGACACAAAGAGAAAATTATGTAAATTAAGAAGAGATGTTTCCATTGTGTACCACTTAATGCCAGAACTAACAATCGGTCAAGTGTTGCCACAGTGTCTTTATTCTTATCACAATATGCTGCACATGATTTCCAAACTTTACACGCTGATCCTGCATGAGACAAATGGTGCATCTTGAGTCATGGATCTGTGACGTAACATGTGATGCATTCATGAGCGTCGGTGCACACAACAGACCAGTATGTTCATGTGTGCATCAAACTAATCTAATATCTCTTGCATATGAGTAATTCTTCATATATTATCCAAACGTGTATGGTATTCGCGTTTCTTTTGGTATATATATGTCTGTCTGTTCTGACTCAGGTGCAATCCAAGCTGTTCCCTGACAACTACAAGAAGGAGATAGGAAAGTTCCAGAAGATCGTCACAGCTCATGAGAGTAATCCCGAGTTTCAGGACAGACTGAAGGTGGCTTTTGCTGAAGGCTACCACGCCAACTCCAAGCAAGAAAGCCATGACACTAAGAACACCGTGCTGAACCGAACACTGCGCTTCCTCTTCTACATGTGCATGTTGTGGCTGCTCGTGCAGGTCGTACAGGTCTTCACTGCCGTGGGAGGAAGTGAGTGTCTGGACATTTTTCAGTCAGCTGTAGAACAGGAGACTGTTTTTAGAATATTGGTCTGGGTCTAATGGTGCGGACCCTAATCCTTTGCAAACTGCGCCAAGATGCTTATAACTCTCTTACCTCAATTGAGACAAACGTTTGTGCTAAATTTGCTTCATGCAGATTGTCCCTGGTAATTTTATGGCGATCAGGTATGCAACTTCTCCTGAGTCACTCTCTGGCCTGAATAAGAAAACATTTAAGGACACATAAATTCCTGCCCGCCCTCGGGATGTATTTAATATTAAACAAACTGACTCAGGCTTGTCATCTTCCCAAGACAGGGGAGTTAACTGACTTTTAAGGTCCAGTTTCCACCTTTGCCGAATTCCGGAGTTACATTTTGGCTGGACTAATGGGTCTATGAACAGTCCAATCAAAATCGCGTAACAAGCTACATGAACTAGACATCTGGTTTGTAAACAGTGATTTCAACATGCAGGTTTCGGTTGACTGAAGAATTTACAAAGCATGTGTACCGCCAACTGGGCGTCGACAGATATTTTTCAAATCTTTTCATGGTTTTAATCAAGGTGCTCAAGTAGTTTGATCCATTTCGCAAGGTAAGGTCCGTATTATTAGAATATGAATCTTGATTTTTTATCAAACGGTCTTCACTGGGTGCCACCATTTTGTTTGAAGCTATTGCAAGTGATAAGAGAGGTGGAATCTGATTGGTCAAGAGGGGGGACAAAACTCATAATATCAACTGTGGCGCTACGATCGAGCCTGGAAATTCCAGCCTATATGGGCAAGGGTGGTAGCTGGACTTTTATTGTCAGCTAACGGCCTTGCCTCGGAAAGATGCTGGCTCGTGCCAAGTTGCATACATGACAGGGATGGAAATTAGCACTAACCCTGACCAGTTATGTTAACGGTATCCAAAGAGCTAGTAGAATTTCAGAGAGTTTGGGCAGTCTTGCTATATGTTGTCACTATTCGGCCGGTAGATGTCCTTGGTGTTATATTCATATTCACATCACTATAGACTTGCAATAACTTTGAACACTGTTCCCCATTTCACCTCACCTACCCTACTTACTTGTAGATTGAGGGTTTGTGTCTATGCTTTGTGTAAATTTATTTGTGTATTGTCGTGTTTTGGTCAATCAGCTGGAGTGCGTGGTCTCGGCGTTCTGACGAAGGATCAGTTTGAGGTCAACCCTGAGGATGTCAACGTAACCTTTGATGATGTCAAAGGGGTGAGTCTCAATAAAGCCTAGTAGTGTCTTGTTATCCGAGTGCGTCTTGACAGACTCAATAAAGCCTAGCAGTGTTTTGTTATCCGAGTGCGTCTTGACAGACTCAATAAAGCCTAGCAGTGTTTTGTTATCCGAGTGCGTCTTGACAGACTCAATAAAGCCTAGCAGTCTGTTGTTATCCGAGTGCGCCTTGACAGACTCAATAAAGCCTAGTAGTGTCTTGTTATCCGAGTGCGTCTTGACAGACTCAATAAAGCCTTGCAGTGTGTTGTTATCCGAGTGTGTCTTGACAGACTCAATAAAGCCTAGCAGTGTGTTGTTATCCGAGTACGCCTTGACAGACTCAATAAAGCCTAGCAGTCTGTTGTTATCCGAGTACGCCTTGACAGACTCAATAAAGCCTAGCAGTGTGTTGTTATCCGAGTGCGTCTTGACAGACTCAATAAAGCCTAGCAGTGTGTTGTTATCCGAGTACGCCTTGACAGACTCAATAAAGCCTAGCAGTCTGTTGTTATCCGAGTACGCCTTGACAGACTCAATAAAGCCTAGCAGTGTGTTGTTGTCCGAGTGCGTCTTGACAGACTCAATAAAGCCTAGCAGTCTGTTGTTATCCGAGTACGCCTTGACAGACTCAATAAAGCCTAGCAGTGTTTTGTTATCCGAGTACGCCTTGACAGACTCAATAAAGCCTAGCAGTCTGTTGTTATCCGAGTACGCCTTGACAGACTCAATAAAGCCTAGCAGTGTGTTGTTATCCGAGTACGCCTTGACAGACTCAATAAAGCCTAGCAGTGTGTTGTTATCTGACGCTCAATAAAGCCAAGCAGTGTGTTGTTATCCAAGTGAGTGAATCAATGTTGTGAATGACACACTCATTAAAGCCTAGCAGTGTGTTGTTATCCAAGTGAGTGAGTCGATGTTGTGAATGACACACTCAATAAAGCCTAGCAGTGTGTTGTTATCCAAGTGAGTGAGTCGATGTTGTGAATGACACACTCAATAAAGCCTAGCAGTGTGTTGTTATCCAAGTGAGTGAGTCGATGTTGTGTATGCTTCAGGCAGATGAGGCTAAGATGGAGCTGATGGACGTGGTGGATTACCTCAAGGACCCAGAGAAGTACCAGTCTCTGGGGGCCAGGTTACCCAAAGGTTGGTTAATCGATTCAGCTTTGTACAGTTTAATGTAAAAAAACTAAAACACAAACTTATATACAATTCATGATCATAGGAAATGTCTGATTTCCAATATTGCCAACAAGATGGCCACCACAGCAGCCATATTGAGTTTGTTGTAGTGTTATTTGAATATTTAATCTGTTTTCTTCTCATCCTCATTCACTTTTAAAATACCATTATGACTCACACAGGGACCTACATGTCCACCTGTCACTCTTTTCTTTTTTAGTTACATGTGTGGTTGTCATGGTGACGTTGTTACATGTTACAGGTGTTCTGTTGGTGGGACAACCGGGCATTGGCAAGACGCTGTTGGCCAGAGCTGTAGCAGGTCAGTTGGGTTTAGTTTTACTCCATTGCATTCTTCTCACTTCAAAGTAACTATGACAACCCATGGGATTCCCATTTAGTGTGTCCCTAGCAATCTATGCTGGTCGTGTCAACTTACCCTAACGATGTGGATTGTCTGGTCCAGATTTGTGGATTGTCTGGTCCAGATTTGTGGATTGTCTGGTCCAGATTTGATCATTTACAGGCCGCCATCATGTAGCTGGAATATCGCTGAGTGAACAACAAACAAACACATCCGTAACAATATTTCTTTTACTTTCTTTCATAATGGAATCCTATAAACTTTATAGTTAATATTAGCTATGTTGTGTGTAGTATAGATTGTCAGTATATTACCAGTTTTTGAAAATTAGCTTGAATGTCAGTGTTATTGTGAAAAGGAGGTTCCTCAAGTCGAATACAATAGGTGCAGACCTCAAGAACCACAGGACCTGTCGTAATATTTCAACACTGATTTATATATTAGTATCCCAGATTAAGCATACTTCCTTTTATTAATCAGTATATGTTTGTGTGTGAAGGGGAAGCCGGCGTGCCGTTCTACCATGCTTCTGGTTCCGAGTTTGACGAGATATTTGTTGGGACTGGAGCCAAGAGAATCCGACAGCTCTTCTGTAAGTGGAGGATATTGGTTCACATTCGTTTAATAAACAGCTTGACTGTAGATCAGTTATTATTGTTTTGTGTTGTTTTGTCAGGTAAGGACGTCCAATCTCTGGTAAAACAATGAATGTACAGTGAACTTAGTTATCAGAACCATCAGAAATATGTTCAGAAACTAGACTATAGTGCCATGACTAGACAATAGTGTTGATATTAGACTATACCACTGATACTGAACATACTACCAATACTGTAATAAGGGGAGGTGAAATGGTGTTTAACGTTGCATTCAAGATTATTGCACTTCTTTAGCAATGCTGATGCCGGACTAATGCCGATTTTATATTGCAAGCGACTAGTCGGAGCCGACCAGTCCTTTGTTTTAGCCCTTTAATGCCAAGCGCCAGGAAGGGTAACAACAAGTACCATCTTTTAACATGTTTTGGTATGACATGGCTGGGGATGAAACCCCTGCTGTCTGGGCAGACGCTTTACCACTACACCATGGAGGCTGTGATTTAATAAGGGGTCTTCCAGATCCATAAAGTTGAATCATCTTGACCGATATGGAGTGTTGATAAACAAGGCAACTAGAACGCAGAACTACTAAAGAATTAGACAATTTCTGTGTGACATGAACTGAAGTTTGAAAAAGTGGAGTGTGGAGTGGGTAATGCCTTCCATTCTGCCTGTTCCCTTACTTTTGTCCATAAGTATATGTTGTTTCGGCAGCTGCTGCCAAGATGAGGACCCCCTGTGTCATATTCCTGGATGAAATAGATTCTGTGGGAGCCAGTCGAACCAACTCCCAGATTCACCCGTACGCCAACCAGACCATCAACCAGCTCCTGGCAGAGATGGATGGGTAAGGGGCACATTCCGCCAGTGACATGGACGGGGATCAAGCAGTCTACTATCTCCCTCACAACTATCTTACAACATGAACACATCCACACCCTCGACATGGCTGTCTATTATTTTCCTTACAACTGTCTTACAACATGAACACATCCACACCCTCGACATGGCTGTCTACTATCTCCCTCACAACTATCTTACAACATGAACACATCCACACCCTCGACATGCCTGTCTGCTATCTCCCTTACAACTATCTTATAACATGAACACATCTACACCCTCGACATGGCGGTGTACAATTTCCCTCACAACTATCTTACAACATGAACACATCCACACCCTCGACATGGCTGTCTACTGTCTCCCTTACAACTATCTTACAACATGAACACATCCACACCCTCGACATGGCTGTCTACTTATTGGTTGGTCATAGAAAATAATCACCTTGGTTCAGATTGAATGATAAACATGTTTTAGTTTAACACTTTCGTAATATGATTATAGTAGATTGTGATTAACTGGTATGTATCTTTCTTCCAGATTTAATCAGAATGAAGGTGTTATTGTACTTGGAGCAACCAACAGGAGAAATAACCTTGACAGGTATGGACAACGTACCATATAGATAATCTCACTCAAGTGTCTTCGGCAAACTTTAGACTTTTAAACTTGACTCATGTAGATATGTTCGATATCATAAGACACAAGGGTGAGATTCTATTTATTATCCAACATCATTCTGTCAACAGTTTCAGTTTGTAAACAGTAATAAGCAGTGTAAAAAGTACAGCTAACAGCTTCAGTAGCAGAGAGATTAGTGATGTCATTTGATTGTGATGTCATGGTAACTGATGATGTCATGGTTACTGATGATGTCACAATGGGCTGCAAAGCATTGTAATGCTATTTCATTGCAGTGATATTTCCTAGGAGAGATAGCCTAGTGGTTAAAGCGTTCGCTCGTCACGCCGAAGACCAGGGTTCAATTCCCGACATGGGTACAATGTATGAAGCCCATTTCTGGTGTCCCCCGCCGTGATATTGCTGGAATATTGCTAAAAGCGGCGTAAAACCATACTTACTCACTCACTCACTCACTTCTAGGAGAGATCGCTTGATCTCACCCAAATGATAGCTCATGTGGAGACCAGTTTTGGGAGACAAATGCTACTCCTTTGCTGCCCCACGTTGCTCTGATTCTCTTTACATGTGCACAAGTTTTCCTCGTAGTTAATCTGTCACTTGGCAATATGAAAACAGGATTTCCCACAGTGTGCTTTGTTAAGCATGACAATAAATACACAGAAATTGTCTCATTCAAATTGGGAATAATTTGTTGCCATGTTGCAGTGCTCTGCTGCGTCCTGGTCGGTTTGACGTGGAGGTGACCGTGTACCCCCCGAGTCTGAAGGGCAGGAAGGAGATCCTGGAGTACTACATCGGCAAGGTCAAGGCCGACTCCAGTACGTCATGTTGTAGATGGTGCACAGTTTGTCTTTATACCATTGTTCACGGTATCCAAACATATATTGACATTTGAAGTTGGCCCTTGTAGCTTAGTGTCCCTTGACCCTCCAGAAATCTATGATCGTGGGTTTGTATCCTGGTTCACCCACAATTGTGTTTCTAGGTTTGTCAGCACCACACTTGTGTTTCTGGGTTTCACAAAAGTGGTAAATGTCTGAGACCTGCATCACTTCGGGCTTTTCTCCCACAGTGACACACCATGTTATATAACTGGAATACTGTTCAAAGTGGCGTTAAAACCAACTCACTCACTTCAATTATTTATATGAAGCTGTTATGTAACTGGAGTAATTCTGTTTGGGTTTAACAACACTCGCTTAGGAGATAGACCTACCATGTTTTGAAATTTGATGTAGTCCCACTGTAGAGTAGATACCTCTTTATTTTAATTTTTAGCCGAGCACTTTAGTTTTAGCTACAATTCATATGGGGTGATCGAACGGCAGCCATTGTCTATGAATCGATATGTAGGCTATCTACATATTCATACGCACGTTTTTTTGTGAAAAGGCTTAATATATTTGAATGGGGTTTCCGTAGCAAAATGGAAACCTCTTTTGAACCAATCAAAAATCAAGCATTCATCAATGTCATGGTAGAATTCACATTTAATGTCAGCCATCATGTGATGTGTTGCAGAGATGGACTTTGACCTGCTGGCCCAGAAGACCGTGGGCTTCACAGGAGCAGATCTCCAGAACATGGTGAACCAGGCCGCACTGCAGGCTGCCCGGGACGGCGCCTCCCTCATCAACATGTCGCACATGGACTACGCCAGGGACAAGGTTGTCATGGGTATGTCTGCTGTGTTTCACTTCAGTTGATATGTCGGAATAAAGTTGTTGAATTAACACATTTGTTGTCAACACCTTTCTGGATCTCATAGATCTCTGTTGATGTCATGTTACAAGAATCAACACTGCAGAGCATGTGATGAGAAGAGTCTCAAATTTAAGGGGGCATGGGTGGCCAAGTCGTCTGAGGTGCTGTAATTTGCTGTGCTGAGTTTGGTCCCATGGGCATGCTAGAAACCTCGTTCGCCCCGATTATGTTCCTAGGTTTGTCAGCAGCATACCCAAGGTCGTTCAAGACCTACCTAATTTCGGGCTTTTCTCCCACATCAAGCTGACAGTGGAATAATCACTCACTTCCATATTTGAAATTTCTAGATTTCAAAAGGTCTGTTAAAAATGCTCCCCGTCTATAGTATACATCCATATGATAATGGCAATAGGTAAGTATTTATGTTCAGGGTACCTACTGTCATGAGAATACAAGGTGATGAGCTGTGAAGATGATGTGCATCCAAGAATGGAAGACCTGCTGGGTTTGATGCCTGTTCTGCTGTCTATACACACCTGTATATGTAGATGTATTGTTCTCGCAGGTCCTGCTAAGAAGTCTCTGGTTCAAGACGATAATGCCAAGTGGAAGACGGCGTTCCACGAGGCCGGGCACACGCTGGTCGCTCACTTCACTAAGGATGCACCTATCCCTAACAAAGTCACCATCCTTCCCCGAGGAAGTTCACTTGGACATGTGAGTCTTCATTCCTGTGTTCCCTGGTGTAAGCACTGTTCACAGACTTCTCTGTCCTATCTCTAGGTTGTAATGTTGACTAGTTTTTGTTTGTGAACGTCATCCATCATTTTTATCTTGAAAATAATGTAATGCTCTCCAAGACAGATGATGAGCCATCTTTCACACAGTCATGTCATGTCCCGTAGTGTCCAGTAGTGTCCAGTAGTATCCTGTAGTGTCCTGTAATGTCCAGTAGTGTCCTGTAGTGTCCTGTAGTATCCAGTAGTGTCCAGAAGAGTCCTGTAGTGTCCAGTCGTGTCCTGTAGTGTCCAGCAGTGTCCTGTAGTGTCCTCTAGTGTCCAGTAGTATCCTGTAGTATCCAGTAGTGTCCTGTAGTGTCCAGTAGTGTCCAGTAGTATCCTGTAGTATCCGGTAGTGCCCAGTAGTATCCTGTAGTGTCCAGTAGTATCCTGTAGTGTCCAGTAGTATCCCGTAGTGTCCCATAGTATCCTGTACTGTCCAGAAGTGTCCAGTAGTATCCTGTAGTGTCCAGTAGTATCCTGTATTGTCCATTAGTATCCATAGTGTCGAGTAGTATCTGTAGTGTCCAGTAGTATCCAGTAGTGTCCAGTAGTGTCCAGTAGTATCCTGTAGTGTCCAGTAGTATCCTGTAGTGTCCAGTAGTATCCTGTAGTGTCCAGTAGTGTCCAGTAGTATCCTGTAGTGTCCAGTAGTATCCTGTATTGTCCAGTAGTATCCGTAGTGTCCAGTAGTATCCCGTAGTGTCCCATGGTGTCCAGTAGTATCCTGTAGTGTCCAGAAGTGTCCAGTAGTATCCTGTAGTGTCCATTAGTATCCTGTATTGTCCAGTAGTATCCATTAGTGTCCAGTAGTATCCGTAGTATCCAGTAGTGTCCAGCAGTGTCCAGTAGTGTCCTGTAGTGTCCAGTAGTATCCTGTAGTGTCCAGTAGTGTCCAGTAGTGTCCTGTATTGTCCACGAGTATCCGTAGTGTCCAGTAGTGTCCAGTAGTATCCTGTAGTGTCCAGTAGTGTCCAGTAGTATCCTGTAGTGTCCAGTATAGTCCAGTAGTATCCTGTAGTGTCCAGTAGTATCCTGTATTGTCCAGTAGTATCCTGTAGTGTCCAGTAGTCTCCAGTAGTATCCTGTAGTGTCCAGTAGTATCCTGTAGTGTCCAGTAGTATCCTTGGTGTCCAGTAGTATCCTGTAGTGTCCAGTAGTATCCTGTAGTGTCCAGAAGTGTCCAGTAGTATCCTGTAGTGTCCAGTAGTATCCTGTAGTATCCTGTATTGTCCAGTAGTATCCATAGTGTCGAGTAGTATCTGTAGTGTCCAGTAGTATCCAGTAGTGTCCAGTAGTGTCCAGTAGTATCCTGTAGTGTCCAGTAGTGTCCAGTAGTATCCTGTAGTGTCCAGTAGTGTCCAGTAGTATCCTGTAGTGTCCAGTAGTATCCTCTAGTGTCCAGTAGTATCCAGTAGTGTCCAGTAGTATCCCGTAGTGTCCCATAGTGTCCAGTCGTATCCTGTAGTATCCTGTAGTGTCCAGAAGTGTCCAGTAGTATCCTGTAGTATCCATTAGTATCCTGTATTGTCCAGTAGTATCCGTAGTGTCCAGTAGTATCCCGTAGTGTCCCATGGTGTCCAGTAGTATCCTGTAGTGTCCAGAAGTGTCCAGTAGTATCCTGTAGTGTCCATTAGTATCCTGTGTTGTCCAGTAGTATCAAGTAGTGTCCAGTAGTATCCGTAGTATCCAGTAGTGTCCAGCAGTGTCCAGTAGTGTCCTGTAGTGTCCAGTAGTTTCCTGTAGTGTCCAGTAGTATCCAGTAGTGTCCAGTAGTATCCAGTAGTGTCCAGTAGTGTCCAGTAGTATCCTGTATTGTCCACGAGTATCCGTAGTGTCCAGTAGTGTCCAGTAGTATCCTGTATTGTCCACAAGTATCCGTAGTGTCCAGTAGTGTCCAGTAGTGTCCAGTAGTGTCCAGTAGTATCCTGTAGTGTCCAGTAGTGTCCTGTAGTATCCTGTAGTGTCCGGTATAGTCCAGTAGTATCCTGTAGTGTCCAGTAGTATCCTGTATTGTCCAGTAGTATCCTGTAGTGTCCAGTAGTATCCTTGGTGTCCAGTAGTATCCTGTAGTGTCCAGTAGTATCCTGTAGTGTCCAGTAGTATCCAGTAGTGTCCAGTAGTGTCCAGTAGTGTCCAGTAGTATCCTGTATTGTCCACAAGTATCCGTAGTGTCCAGTAGTGTCCAGTAGTGTCCAGTAGTGTCCAGTAGTATCCTGTAGTGTCCAGTAGTGTCCAGTAGTATCCTGTAGTGTCCAGTATAGTCCAGTAGTATCCTATAGTGTCCAGTAGTATCCTGTAGTATCCAGTAGTATCCTGTAGTGTCCAGTAGTATCCTTGGTGTCCAGTAGTATCCTGTAGTGTCCAGTAGTATCCTGTAGTGTCCAGTAGTGTCCTGTAGTGTCCTGTAGTGTCCAGTAGTATCCTGTAGTGTCCATTTGTGTCCAGTTGTGTCCTGTAGTGTCCTGTAGTGTCCAGTAGTGTCCAGTCGTGTCCAGTCGTGTCCAGTCGTGTCCAGTCGTGTCCAGTCGTGTCCAGTAGTGTCCAGAAGTGTCCTGTAGTGTCAAGGATCTCTGGTTGTTCTATTCAGTTATGATCCTTTGTCTTCGAGCACAAGGTAATGATTGTGTTTTTCAACCAAAGCCATAAATGTGGAGAACCTGTGTCCCATTGGTTTCCCTCCTACACTAGAACCAGCTTGTCTTTGTGGTAATACATAGAGAACTCACCTTAATGTCTTTTTATATCAAATATATCAACATTGGGATTTGCCAAGGTGTTTTGAACTTTTGTTGACGAGTTTTGATATATATATATTTGATATTACAAGACATAAGGGTGATCTTATTGTCATCCAAAATCACTCCTTTTTTTTTTAAACTGTAATACGTGAGAGTCTTGAGTTTAAAAGTACAGCTAACCAGCTTCAGTGGCAGAGAGATTAGCAGCGGTCGACTTACTGCTGGCCCGTGGCCAGTTAAAACTACAGAAGGCCTGCTGAAAAATAAAGTAGATGGCCCGTCGAGCTAGTCAAAATTTCGCCCCTTCTCTGTGTATGTTTAATTTTTTTAATTGGACATTTCTCTAAAGTTTACAGGGACTGGGTAACTCAGTCATGGCCTCCAACGTTTAGTTTTAGGTCAGTTAGTTTGGAGAAGGCCAGTATCTTTTTAAGGGAACAAGACCAGCTGGCTATATCTGAATTTGTGGTTAAATCTACCCCTGGATTAGTGATGCCATTCGATTGTGACGTCATGGTTACAGATGACATTGTGATTAAATTCATTGTAGCAATGTCTGTTAGGAGATATTGCTTAATCTCACCCAAGCAATATCTCCTATGGAAGCCAGTGTTGTATGATGAAGTGGAATAACTCGCAGTGAATGCTGTGGATATATTGGCCCTGTCAGCAGTGTACTGATGATGTTTACAGACGGCGATGTCGTATGAGAAGGAGCTGTTCAACATGTCGCGGTCCCAGCTGCTGGCTCGGATGGATGTCTCCATGGGGGGTCGGGCTGCAGAGGAGGTCATCTACGGCATGGATAAAGTTGAAACAGGTACACCATGTTTGATAAGCCAGTCCAAAATATTGAGAATTCTAGGTGATTACCACTCACTCACTCCAGAAGTAGACTCAATGAGCCATGAATCGATAACTCCGCAGAAGTTTGTTATGGTTGATAATTAATTTCTCAAACATTTTACATAATGATCTATAGTTGCATCAGTTTTACTTGTTAAAATGCACATTCAGAAGTCCAGTGGCTTCCTGGATCAGAATCAAATGCAACAGCAATAGCAGGCTGTCATCCTAATGGTTTAAATTATGTCAAGTAATGCACCTTAATAGTAAACCATTAACCCAAGGCACTGTATGCATCACATGGAATTTGTCATGTAGATGTGTCTCGTGTTTTATGTTTTTGACGTGTACAGTTTTTGTCAGGGAGGTTACATTTGGTAATAAAGTGATTCCTTCAAAGGTGCCAAGGATGACTTCTCACAAGCCACAACAATAGCAAGTGCAATGGTCAAGGAATACGGAATGTCAGAAAAGGTAAAGAGATGTAGTTCTCTGCTTGTCCTGAATCATAGACTGCCTCCATGGTCTAGTGGTAGAGCGTCCGCCCGGAGAGCGGTCCAGACTAGTACAAGCAGCCACACAAACACACACACGTACATGCACGTCGCTATATAAGTGCAATAATCTTGGACGCGACATTAAACCCCATTTCACCTCACCTGAATCACAAAAACTTCAGGAATCCTGCTCTGTACTAGATCTGTTTTCTCTAGGATATAGGGACAACATTAGACACTCTGCTCAAGTTACGATTATCACCTGCACATAATAGTTTCTTGGTCTTGTGATCAATGGTACGATCGAGATGTGGGGCACGTATGGCCTAATCGACTAACACGCTGCAATTCACTGTGTAGAGTTGCTTCCCTTGGGCATGCCAAAAACCTATGCTTGTGGGTTCAAATTCTGGTTGCATAGTAAACTAGTTTGTTCAGTGGTTGATCACCAGAGCAAGAACATGGGAAATGTGGGTTCAATTTCCTACCATATTTTTGTGTAGATATGGAGGTGTTGTTTGGTGTTGTGTGTTATTTCAGATGAAGGGGCGTTTGTGTAGTCAAGTGGTTAAAGCATAAGCTTGTCACGCTGGAAACCCGGGTTCAATTCCCCTCATGAGTTCAATATGTGAAGCCCATTTCTGGTGTTCCCCCGCCTTGATATTGTTGGAATATTCCTAAAAGCGGCGTAAAACTATACCAACCCTTAAGAGGAGATGCTGTTGTAGTTCTGGTGTTGTATTCTTCCATGTTTAGCATTAAGACTAAGTCATGGACTTCTGTTTCATCGGTAACAGGTTGGAACGCGAGTGTTTAAAGACAACAATGTGGTGAGCGGTGGTGTGTCCAAGATAAACAGTCTGAGCCCCGCTGTACAGGAGCAGATTGATGGGGAAATCAAGAGACTACTACAGGTATGTTAGTCAATCATACACTCCACAACTACAGGTATGTCAGTCAATCATAAGCTCCACTACTACAGGTATGCCAGTCAATCATACACTCCATTACTCCAGGTATGTCAGTCTATCATACACTCCACGACTACAGGTATGTCAGTCAATCATACACTCCACGACTACAGGTATGTCAGTCAATCATACACTCCGTTACTACAGGTATGTCAGTCAATCATACACTCCACGACTACAGGTATGTCAGTCAATCATACACTCCACTACTACAGGTATGTTAGTCAATCATACACTCCATTACTACAGGTATGTCAGTCAATCATACACTCCGTTACTACAGGTATGTCGTCAGTCAATCATACACTCCATTACTACAGGTATGTCAGTCAATCATACACTCCGTTACTACAGGTATGTCGTCAGTCAATCATACACTCCACAACTACAAGTATGTCAGTCAATCATACACTCCACTACTACAGGTATGTTAGTCAATCATACACTCAACTACTACAGGTATGTTAGTCAATCATACACTCCACAACTACAGGTACGTCAGTCAATCATACACTCCGCAACTACAGGTATTTCAGTCAATCATACACTCCACTACTACAGGTTTGTCAGTCAATCATACACTCCACTACTATGGGTATGTCTGTCAATCATACACTCCACTACTACAAGTATGTTAGTCAATCATACACTCCACTACTACAAGTATGTCAGTCAATCATACACTCCACTACTCCAGGTTTGTTAGTCAATCATACACTCCACTACTACAGGTATGTCAGTCAATCATACACTCCACTACTACAGGTTTGTTAGTCAATCATACACTCCACTACTACAGGTATGTCAGTCAATCATACACTCCACTACTACAAGTATGTCTGTCAATCATACACTCCACTACTACAAGTATGTTAGTCAATCATACACTCCACTACTACAAGTATGTCTGTCAATCATACACTCCACTACTACAAGTATGTTAGTCAATCATACACTCCACTACTACAAGTATGTCAGTCAATCATACACTCCACTACTACAAGTATGTTAGTCAATCATACACTCCACTACTACAGGTATGTCAGTCAATCATACACTCCACTACTACAGGTTTGTCAGTCAATCATACACTCCACTACTATGGGTATGTCTGTCAATCATACACTCCACTACTACAGGTATGTCAGTCAATCATACACTCCACTACTACAGGTATGTCAGTCAATCATACACTCCACTACTATGGGTATGTCTGTCAATCATACACTCCACTACTACGGGTATGTTAGTCAATCATACACTCCATTACTACAGGTTTGTCAGTCAATCATACACTCCACTACTACAGGTATGTTAGTCAATCATACACTCCATTACTACAGGTATGTCAGTCAAACATACACTCCACTACTACAGGTATGTCGTCAGTCAATCATACACTCCACAACTACAAGTATGTCAGTCAATCATACACTCCACTACTACAGGTATGTTAGTCAATCATACACTCCACTACTACAGGTATGTTAGTCAATCATACACTCCACTACTACAGGTATGTCAGTCAATCATACACTCCACAACTACAGGTATTTCAGTCAATCACACACATCACTATACAGGTATGTCAGTCAATCATACGCATCACTACTACAGGTATGTCAGTCAATCATACGCATCACTACTACAGGTATTTCAGTCAATCATACGCATCACTACTACAGGTATGTCAGTCAATCATACACTCCACTACTACAGGTATGTCGGTCAATCATACGCATCACTACTACAGGTATGTCAGTCAATCATACACTCCACTACTACAGGTATGTTAGTCAATCATACACTCAACTACTACAGGTATGTTAGTCAATCATACACTCCACAACTACAGGTACGTCAGTCAATCATACACTCCGCAACTACAGGTATTTCAGTCAATCATACACTCCACTACTACAGGTTTGTCAGTCAATCATACACTCCACTACTATGGGTATGTCTGTCAATCATACACTCCACTACTACAAGTATGTTAGTCAATCATACACTCCACTACTACAAGTATGTCAGTCAATCATACACTCCACTACTCCAGGTTTGTTAGTCAATCATACACTCCACTACTACAGGTATGTCAGTCAATCATACACTCCACTACTACAGGTTTGTTAGTCAATCATACACTCCACTACTACAGGTATGTCAGTCAATCATACACTCCACTACTACAAGTATGTCTGTCAATCATACACTCCACTACTACAAGTATGTTAGTCAATCATACACTCCACTACTACAAGTATGTCTGTCAATCATACACTCCACTACTACAAGTATGTTAGTCAATCATACACTCCACTACTACAAGTATGTCAGTCAATCATACACTCCACTACTACAAGTATGTTAGTCAATCATACACTCCACTACTACAGGTATGTCAGTCAATCATACACTCCACTACTACAGGTTTGTCAGTCAATCATACACTCCACTACTATGGGTATGTCTGTCAATCATACACTCCACTACTACAGGTATGTCAGTCAATCATACACTCCACTACTACAGGTATGTCAGTCAATCATACACTCCACTACTATGGGTATGTCTGTCAATCATACACTCCACTACTACGGGTATGTTAGTCAATCATACACTCCATTACTACAGGTTTGTCAGTCAATCATACACTCCACTACTACAGGTATGTTAGTCAATCATACACTCCATTACTACAGGTATGTCAGTCAAACATACACTCCACTACTACAGGTATGTCGTCAGTCAATCATACACTCCACAACTACAAGTATGTCAGTCAATCATACACTCCACTACTACAGGTATGTTAGTCAATCATACACTCCACTACTACAGGTATGTTAGTCAATCATACACTCCACTACTACAGGTATGTCAGTCAATCATACACTCCACAACTACAGGTATTTCAGTCAATCACACACATCACTATACAGGTATGTCAGTCAATCATACGCATCACTACTACAGGTATGTCAGTCAATCATACGCATCACTACTACAGGTATTTCAGTCAATCATACGCATCACTACTACAGGTATGTCAGTCAATCATACACTCCACTACTACAGGTATGTCGGTCAATCATACGCATCACTACTACAGGTATGTCGGTCAATCATACGCATCACTACTACAGGTATGTCGGTCAATCATACCCTCCACTACTCCAGGTTTGTTAGTCAATCATACACTCCACTACTACAGGTTTGTTAGTCAATCATACACTCCACTACTACAGGTATGTCAGTCAATCATACCCTCCACTACTACAGGTATGTCAGTCAATCATACACTCCACTACAACAGGTTTGTTAGTCAATCATACACTCCACTACTACAGGTATGTCAGTCAATCATACACTCCACTACTACAGGTTTGTTAGTCAATCATACACTCCACTACTACAGGTATGTCAGTCAATCATACACTCCACTACTACAGGTATGTCAGTCAATCATACACTCCACTACTACAGGTTTGTTAGTCAATCATACACTCCACTACTACAGGTTTGTCAGTCAATCATACACTCCACTACTACAGGTATGTCAGTCAATCATACACTCCACTACTACAGGTATGTCAGTCAATCATACACTCCACTACTACAGGTTTGTTAGTCAATCATACACTCCACTACTACAGGTATGTCAGTCAATCGTGCACACCACTACTACAGGTTTGTTAGTCAATCATACACTCCACTACTACAGGTTTGTCACTGAATCAATCACTAAGGATAAAAAGATACCACAGCTGACACTGAGAAAAGAACACTTGGCATATGTAAGACCAGATCCCATGTTTGGATTGGTATTTAGCATTGTGTACTGCCCTAGTGCATATTGTCCTCGTGATCATTGCTGACAATACTGTAATTATTTTACTGAACACCTCAGTAAAGATTGATCACCCCAGATGCATATTATCCTGAATGTATACATGCTGTGGATATATGCTACATGATGATTATACTGATATACTTGCAGGAGTCGTATGACCGCGCTAAACAGATCCTTCACAAGCACCAAGCAGAGCATAAGGCCCTGGCACAAGCTTTGATTAAACTAGAAACCCTGGACAAAGAACAAATAGTGGCAGTCATTGAAGGGAAGCCAGTCAGCAACCAGTCGTGATAATGTGTTCAGTAGGGATGGACGTGGATTGCGTGATGTGATCGTCAGTGAGAGTTGTCTCCCTTGTCAGTTGTCACAGCGGAGGCCAACCGACCAAGATGTTGACTACAGGAACAAGAGACATGACACAAATGATATTTTGGGGGAGATGGTGTAAGCCAATCAATCTGTACAGAACACTGCGTGTAATGACTGAGTTGCATCATTTCTTTTGTCTGTACCTATTGTGTTATAGGACTTGCAGTGGGGAATTTCAGAAATGATTCTGTATCCTTGCATTTTCTTATTGATAGTTTTGTGTATAATTATTGATACCAACTTTTTATTAATGTAGAGATAAATGAAATCATGTACTATATACTAGGGGTGAAACGATACGTTGGTGTACCGGTGCATCGTGAGTTTTCATGTGACGATACGATACACATACTGTTTTTTCTGTATCAATACAAGACGATTCACTTGCTAAAATAAATTACTTACTATTTGCTTAATGACCCCCACCCCAGCGCTTATGTCTGTTGAATATTGCAAACTCTGTTGTAATTAGTTTTCAACTTCACTAATAATATTAGCTGCTATGAACATGTCACAGCTAGCAGTTCCTTTGGAACCAGCTCTGAAATATTCATAGTCAAGAAGTTTTCCACATGATTTGACGTAAATATGCGTATCGTGATACATATCGTATCATGACCTTGCTGTATCGTCTCACCCCTACTGAATATTGTGGTATCGCCAGGGCTCCATCTCAAAATAACTTTCCTTCACTGTATGTCTGTGTGTACCTTATACAGTGTGTCCATACTCTTTTTCACTGGGTACATAGTAAATGCAAGGCAAGGACCTCATCTTAACATTGTCCAAACAGTCTGGATTGATGGAATGTCAAACGGGTGAATCATTGCATAAATTATTGAAAAATTGGAAATTGAAGGTCAAATTGTTGGTGGTAGTGTTTTTGTTTTCTTTTTTAGACAGATTCGCACACTTTTTTAGAATGAGATTTTATGTATGAGTTCAGTTCTTATGTCTTCTGTTTTTCTGTAACATACTGTACATGCTATATGTATTACAAGTGTCACCTCAGAAATGAGGGTTTGTGCTTCATCCTTCACATGGTTGACTTGATGAAGTGGTCATGATCATGCCTTTGTAGACACATACCGACAGTGAATGAGTAGTCGTGGTTTTAAGAACACAGTCAGTCCATTACAGACATTGGATTTAGTGGACGACGACCTTGTAATCAGTGTGTGACCTTGAGGTATTGATGCGAACTATGAGAGGCCACACAAAGGAGAAGTGGAACAGTTTCTTTGAAAGGCATTTAGAAGTTGGGTTACTAAGTAAGGATAACATATAAGGATGAACAACTTCTCAGGAGCAATGTTTCGGTGTAGGTTACCCCTTCATCAAGCAAGTTAAAATAACGTGCTTGATAACAGTGTTAGAACCTACACTGAAACATTGCTCCTAATGGTAATAAAGAAGTTGTTCATCCACATATCCTTACTAAGTGGAACAGTTGCAGTGATGGATATCATTTGAAGAGAAAGAGAGACTAGTTCTACACCACTGAAGGATTGCCATCTACATAGATACTTGTGTGTGTATATTTCCCCCGGACTGGGCAGAGTGAGTGAGGGGCATGTGACCCAACTGGTTCCATGTGCATGTGGGAACAGACTGTTTTAAAGAAAAACCCTGTTTAAACAGAGAACTTGTTTTCAACGACTATTTACCTTTTCAATAAACGTAGAATGTCATGATTGAAAACAGGACTGGCCCCTACCGGAGATAACAATCTACTTTAAGGCAAACGGTTCCCCTTGGGAGCCCCAGCAACCTATACGGTTGTAAGAGGCAATTTACTAGACAGTCTTCTTGAATGTGTGGATCATTACCCACCATATCACACTCTGTATTGTCTGATCTAGACTCGATTTCATGCAGGTCGCTGTAAAGAAGCTGGAATATAACTGAATGCAGCATTCAACATAAAACGAAGCAAGCAGTTTGCATATTTCAGACAGCAATGCACATTTCAGACAGCAATGCAAAGGGTGTTCCATGGGAACAACACATCACTGTCTGCATGGTCTGTGGAATTCATACAGGTCATGAACCCTGGAAAAGTTGTGAAATTATGGTGGAGTTTCCAGGCAGGGAATACTTTTGGATATGTTGTTATGAGGTCATGGACAAATATGTTTTTATACCAGTAACTTCTTCTGGTGGTGTATCTGTGAAAGAAAAATAAAAGTCAACCGTCGGTCGTTTTCCATGTTATTGAAACACATCCCAAACATTACTAATTAGATGAGATTGTTATTGTTTTAATGTCAGTACTGGTGGGAAAACCACTGTGGTGGGACGGACTGGTTTGATGACTTGTTCTGTTGCTTGTACCCTCATCTGCCATGCCGCTTTTAACAGTATTCCAGTTATACTACAACGAGCACGGGTATGGTGCTGACAAAACCAAGAAACATAATTGCGGCGCCTTAGACGACTGGGCCACCCGTGCCCCCCCAAGGCGCATTAGAAGAGTGGGCCACCTGTAATGGTGGCAGCGACATGAGTAACAATGCTTCATTTCAACTGCTGCTTTCTGACGGTCATCAAATTCAATGAACGCAACAAGTCATAAGGAAGGCCAACATGACACACGAGGAATGTCAAAACAATACACAAATAATGTGGAAGCAATCAAATTTATTCCAGCGAAATGCTAGTCATAAACCTCATACTCTGTACTTACCATACATTTACATCTTATTTTCATTAAAAACACATATAAATGCAGATCTAAAATTTCATCAAAATCATTCACACAAATGTCTGGTCTTGGAGACTTATATTTTGAACATCTTGCAATACTGACTGCTGATCAGCTCCAAGTAGAAAGATAGTGGCATTTGTTCAATGGCCAATTCACACAGAAGGAATCACAAAATTCATGTTTTACCATCAACCCTGCTGATGACAAACATGGCATTAGCAACTGATTTGCATGTAAGCTGATTCAGCAAAAGGCATGCTCCCTCTTGAGGATGGCTGACCTCTGGTGTAATGGAGTGGGTGGGCGGGCAGAGATTGAACAGACAATATATCTGTGTGACTGGGCCATACATTGGGGGGAACCTGTCATTTATCAGAGGGGAGATTTTCAGCCACCACTACAGATCAATTTCCTGTGTTGTTTTTATACCTTCAATAATTCCCATGTTATTCACCATCAAAAATAATTTATTGTAATTGCCCTCCCCATAATCTCTGGGTAGTCCCTCCACCCCAATGATAAATGAGTGGTTCCCTGGTGGGCACAGGGCTTGAATCACTGTTATGACAAGGAACGAAAATCAGACAAAATAATATTTGAAGTACAATGAAGATTTTTCTATTCAAATACTTTTCAAATGAAGATATTCTTTTCTAAAGAAAATGTATGATAAACTTTTCTTAAAATACCCCCAAACTTAAAGAAGTTGTACCGGTAAATGACCGATCTAAGATTTATCTTCATAGCACAGAATATCATATTTCTTTCTCAGCCACAACAGTGATAATCTCCCCTGTGCTTATATCTATACTGTTAACAGTATCTATCACAGCTGTAGGTTATCCAGGTCAATGAAAGCACAACTAAGCCTGATGTTATCCGCAGCTTTACATCATCTTTAAAGAACTAAAATTAACTGAATCTTCAGACAACTGTCAACTAACTATATACATCTTTCGTGTTGCAATAAATAAAACTCCTAGATCCTCGTCTTGTTACAATATAGCACATACATCTGCAAAATACAGATATAACCATAACAACAAAATTACATTCCTGCATCCAGCAAACAGCAGAGCTCTCCTGGTACATAGTCCTTGTGTCGGTTGTCAAACAGTGGAGCTCTCCTGGTACAGTCCTTGTGTCACATTGTCAAACAGCAGAGCTCTCCTGGTACATAGTCCTTGTGTCACATTGTCAAACAGTGGAGCTCTCCTGGTACATAGTCCTTGTGTCGCTTGTCAAACAGCGGAGCTCTCCTGGTACATAGTCCTTGTGTCGCTTGTCAAACAGCGGAGCTCTCCTGGTACATAGTCCTTGTGTCACATTGTCAAACAGCGGAGCTCTCCTGGTACATAGTCCTTGTGTCACATTGTCAAACAGCGGAGCTCTCCTGGTACAGTCCTTGTGTCGGTTGTCAAACAGTGGAGCTCTCCTGGTACAGTCCTTGTGTCGCTTGTCAAACAGCGAAGCTCTCCTGGTACATAGTCCTTGTGTCACATTGTCAAACAGCGGAGCTCTCCTGGTACATAGTCCTTGTGTCGCTTGTCAAACAGCGGAGCTCTCCTGGTACATAGTCCTTGTGTCACATTGTCAAACAGCGGAGCTCTCCTGGTACAGTCCTTGTGTCGGTTGTCAAACAGCGGAGCTCTCCTGGTACAGTCCTTGTGTCGCTTGTCAAACAGCGAAGCTCTCCTGGTACATAGTCCTTGTGTCACATTGTCAAACAGCGGAGCTCTCCTGGTACATAGTCCTTGTTTCGCTTGTCAAACAGCGGAGCTCTCCTGGTACATAGTCCTTGTGTCGGTTGTCAAACAGCGGAGCTCCCTTGGTACATAGTCCATGTGTCAGTTGTCAAACAGGGGAGTTCTCCTGGTACATAGTCCTTGTGTCCGTTGTCAAACAGGGGAGCTCTCCTGGTACATAGTCCATGTGTCGGTCATCAAACAGCGGAGCTCCCTTGGTACATAGTTCTTGTGTCGGTTGTCAAACAGCCAAGCTCTCCTGGTACATAGTCCTTGTGTCAGTTGTCAAATAGCGGAGCTCTCCTGGTACATAGTCCTTGTGTCACATTGTCAAACAGCAGAGCACTCCTGGTACATAGTCTGTGTGTCGGTTGTCAAACAGTGGAGCTCTCTTGGTACATAGTCCTTGTGTCGGTTGTCAAACAGCAGAGCTCTCCTGGTACATAGTCCTTGTGTCACATTGTAAAAAAGCGGAGCTCTCCTGGTTGATAGTCTGTGTGTCGGTTGTCAAACAGTGGAGCTCTCCTGGTACATAGTCCTTGTGTCGGTTGTCAAACAGCGGAGCTCTCCTGGTACATAGTCTGTGTGTCGGTTGTCAAACAGCAGAGCTCTCCTGGTACATAGTCTGTGTGTCGGTTGTCAAACAGTGGAGCTCTCTTGGTACATAGTCCTTGTGTCGGTTGTCAAACAGCAGAGCTCACCTGGTACATAGTCCATGTGTCGGTTGTCAAACAATGGAGCTCTCCTGGTACATAGTCCTTGTATCAGATTGTCAAATAGCATAGCTCTCTTGGTACATAGTTCTTTAAAATTCACGGGCAAATTTACAAAAATTGGCTATCTTCTACTAGAGCTGTTATTGATTGACAATATGACGACAAGCCAAAAATTACTACAAATAGTCACTGTAATAGCCTTGTTTAGGAGTATGTTTTAGGAGTTAAAGTTTCAAGAATCCGTTATTGTTAATGACAATTTCAATGAATAAAGTTTGGCAAATGTTATAAAGTTAAACATTATTTTATTATCAATATTACCATGTGAATGCGGAGACCCAGTGTCTTGGCAAATTAATACTGAGCATGCCTAAGACGGCCCTGATCAGTCGAGTAGGGTCATCTACCTCAGTCGTCTTTTTTTAAAAGACATTCAGTGCATGAATACAAGGCCAGTCATTTTCTCTCAAAACAAGTGAACAAGAATTTTGTAGTTTTCATCAACCAAAAAGAGGAAAAGATAGAACCTCTAACACTGTTCATAATGCTGTTGTTTGCATAGACACCGACTCATGAGACATCATGGCGCTTGATCCCAGGAATATAGGTTCTGACATCATGCACATACGCCCCTGACTGCAGAGGATGATCTGCGTGATGCTCTACAGCAAATTATTCAACCTGTTGATATTTGCTAGCATACTGTCAGAAACATCTCAGTGTGCTAGCCAAAAGAATCCAGCTGTGATTCAGTCCCTCTCAGTAAGTATTTGGTGTTTTATCTGTTCTACAGGGACATAATACATCATTATAACTTCATCTCCATTGTCTGAAACCTGTCTTGATATACTACTCATCATCTGAAAGGGATAGTCTCAGTGTGCGACCTGAATGTCTGTGATTGGCTGCTTGAAGTTGATGTCATAGAAATAGTATCCCATGTTGCCAGGCAACTGGGTCATGTTCAGCTATAAAAGTTAATAGAAGTAAACAATTCAAGTACATCAGTTGCTTCCCTTTAGTTATTTAACAGAATGAAATAGCCCAGGATCCTTCTCAAATGTTGAATAGCATAATTCACCATGATCGTCAACCACATGCCAATTTCAAAAACTAATAAATTCCTCCATCACAAGAAAATCAAACTTCAGAACTGAATTCCTATGAATAAAAATACAATTCCTGTTACCGGTATGTCTTGTGTATTCCTTGACAAGAGTTGCTCCTGACCTTAATGATTCACCATGATTCAACCAAGTGAATCACTTGATTTTAACATTGATCTACTTATGTGAAACTTCTACAGAGAGGAAATCAAGCAATAGCCACCGTATTCCATATTTCAACATTATTTCTGTGCTATTGCTTCTAAATACTTGTCAGGCTTTCTTTGTCATCTTTGAGAATCAGAACATCACAGTCTTGGAGTTTCTACTAAGCACACACAGGAGTTTGCGCAACATCCATGAATATTGTCCATTAATGCCCAGTAAATGATATGGCGGCCGTCTCCAGAGGGGACCAAACCCATCAGCGCGAGGAACCGGATTCAACGTAAAGAGGAAAGTGCACAGATCATTTATTAATTTGTAGTTACTGGTTTTCCAGAACAAGGCTCTTTGGAGTGATCAAACCCACCAGTATTGGTAACCTGAATAAAATGTAAAGAAAAAAGTGCACCCTGATTATTTATTAAATTATAGGTTTGCAAGAACACGACTCTGGAGTGATCAAACCCTTCAGTTTGAAGAGCCTGAATTCAAAGTAAAGAAGAAGGTGCACCAGATCATTGGTTTGCAAGAACACGTCTCAAGATGCTCAATAATTTAGACAATATGCAATAAATTCAAAGTGGAGTAACTCTGTACAAAACACACATGGTCATTCAACTCATCAAGTTATCACACCTTATCACACGGACGCAGACTGACCTACGCAGGTCCATATAAAAGAGTATAAATTAAATATAGTATACAAACATTCAATAAGCAAGGTGAGATTGAGAAGAAGCACTAACATGGACTCGGTACATTAACAAATCTCTAACAATATGTTATAAATTTGAAAACAGTTGTACAGAAAATAGTCTTTGCTAACACCTATACATACTTATATAACAAATGCTATATATGGTTATAGATGGAAACAGTTGGTGGACAGTAGTACCTCAGGCCAAAACAAATACACTTGTGTTTTAGGTTACATGGCTTCAAGGGAATTAGTCTAACATATTTTGGTCAATATTTAAAAAATAAAATAATTAATTTCTTGTTGAAATAGTTTGGTGATTTTCCTTTGCAACTAATTACATATATGGGTTGGCTGGGCCACAGAAACACAAGAATTGTCATCTTGCCTTAGCCTATGTTGCAGAGATATCTCCTGCAAACCCTGTCACCATTTCCGGGTTAAATCTAAAACTTTGATTCAAGAATTTTCTCAGATATGTTGACTTAATTTGCTAGACATGAATGAGAGGGATGTCTTCTTTCAAAGCAAAAATAGCAGATATCAAACCTTTCCGTTTAATATCGATACAGTGACAATAACAATTTCATTAATCAAATTGAAATGCAGGAATCATATAAATATTGTGTCAATATCACTACCAAACAAATTTGGTAAAACACTTTTGTTCAGGCCGGATTATTACAATTCGACAATGCAAACAAGTAAGATGAAACGAAACTAAAACAAACTGATTACTGTGTGTGCAAGCTCCCTCATCATCTCTGCCAGTTGCCATGGTAATTAAAGATTTTCTGCTTGATAGTACCGGTAACTGTCTCTTGTTCAACAGTCCGAGATGTTGGTCATCATTAGTATTTCTAAAGCTGAAAGCTATATGAAGTGATCAACTGGCGAAGTAATTGAACCTCTAGTCCTAACTAATGGGTCGATCTGTGGACACTGCAGGGCACATATTTTTTTCTCTGATTTCTGCAATAATGCTGTCATCCCTGTGGGCGACTTGGAATTGATACAATTTAGCAGCGATGATGAAACCCAGGAGATCAGAGCACTAGCCACTGTGCCCTGCCACTGCACACAGAGAGATGCTTCAAGCTGAGCAGCATCTCGGCAGCATCACAGCAGGGGACACTGAGAATGGCCTTAACTTAATGACCTTGACCTAATGGCCTTCATTGACCTGATGGCCCTAACCTAATGACATTGACCTGATGACCTTGACCTGATGGCCCTAACCTAATGACATTGACCTGATGGCCCTAACCTAATGACATTGACCTGATGGCCTTGACCTTACAGCCTTCACGTGATGGCCTTGACCTAGTGTCATTGAATAGAAATGAACCTGGGTCTTTGGCATGACAAGCTAACACCTTAACTACCCCATTCCTTCTCTACCTATCTGCCATTACAGACAGCTACCCTATGTCATGCACACAACCCAAATCTGATCAACAACTTCAGATATTGCTATAAAGGAGTGAGTTCGTTTTAGGCTGCTTTTAACAGCAGTACAGAAATATCATGGCATGTCAGCTTACCCAAAGTGATGCAGGTCTAACATGTTTATTTCTTTGGTGAAACTTGTGAGCCTGGTGTGATGCTGACAAACCAGTGATTATTATCAGAGCGAGGCTATGATTCAAACCCACATTAATGGGATACGGCCCTGAAGGGATGCAACCCAGTGAAAAATTGAATTGACCTCTATATATACTACTCAAAAGAAGTTAAAGAACATGACATGACAGATTAACGATAGAGTGAGTGAGTTGGGTTTAACGCCGCTTTTAACAGTATTCCAGTTATATCACGGCGTGTCAGCTTAATGTGGGAGGAAAGCCCGAAGTGATGCAGGTCTCGGACGTTTACCACTTCGGTGAAACCCACGAGCACGGGTATGGTGCTGACAACCTAGAAACATAATCGGGGCGAACAGGGATTTTAACCCACAATAATAGGTTTCTGGCGTGCCCAAGGGACGCAACTCTGCACAGCGAATCGCGGCGTCTTAGACAACTGGGCCACCCATGCCCCCGATTAACGATAGAAGAAATAATTGTGTTCTTCAACTTCTTTTGAGTAGTATATATCAGAGTTAGCAAAATCCATATTGATATCTAAACCTTCTAAGTGTGAGTGGACTTTGCCCCATTGTTTGTAGCAATAAATCTAAGGCCGAAACAGTCTGTTGATGCAGCAGGACCTGAGCTCAACAATAAACTATTTCCCTTCATCTTGCATCACTTCAAATATTGTTCTAATTATCTGTACCAAATGATTTACAAACTGGTACTTATATATTCAAAATATAAATTAAGACAATTTTAATCTGAAAATATTTTATGATATGTATAAATTGTATGAAGAAGGGGTGGGTTAGTGAGTCTGTCTGACATTGCTGTTATATCAATCATGTGACACAGAGTCAGTTTAATGTCCCACGGAGCCAGTTTAATGTCCCACAGAGTCAGTTTAATGTCCCACAGAGCCAGTTTAATGTCACACAGAGCCAGTTTAATGTCCCACGGGTGGTAAGCACTAAGGCCCCCCTGTACTCACATGGGTGGTAAGCACTAAGGCCACCCTGTACTCACATGGGTGGTAAGCACTCAAGGCCACTCGGTACCCACATGGGTGGTAAGCACTAAGGCCGACCGGTACTCACATGGGTGGTAAGCACTAAGGCCACCTGGTACCCACATGGGTGGTAAGCACTCAAGGCCACCTGGTACCCACATTGTTGGTAAGCACTCAAGGCCACCTGGTACCCACATGGGTGGTAAGCACTCAAGGCCACCTGGTACTCACATGGGTGGTAAGCACTCAAGGCCACTCGGTACTCACATGGGTGGTAAGCACTCAAGGCCACCTGGTACTCACATGGGTGGTAAGCACTCAAGGCTACCTGGTACTCACATGGGTGGTAAGCACTCAAGGCCACTCGGTACTCACACGAGTGGTAAGCACTAAGGCCACCTGATACTCACATGGGTGGTAAGCACTCAAGGCCACCCAGTACTCACATGGGTGGTAAGCACTCAAGGCCACTCGGTATTCACATGGGTGGTAAGCACTCAAGGCCACTCGGTACCCACATGGGTGGTAAGCACTCAAGGCCACTCGGTACTCACATGGGTGGTAAGCACTCAACGCCACTCGGTACTCACATGGGTGGTAAGCACTCAAGGCCACCTGGTACTAACACGGGTGGTAAGCACTCAAGGCCACCTTGTACTCACATGGGTGGTAAGCACTAAGGCCACCTGATACCCACATTGGTGGTAAGCACTCAAGGCCACTCGGTACTCACATGGGTGGTAAGCACTCAAGGCCACTCGGTACTCACACGAGTGGTAAGCACTAAGGCCACCTGATACTCACATGGGTGGTAAGCACTCAAGGCCACCCAGTACTCACATGGGTGGTAAGCACTCAAGGCCACTCGGTATTCACATGGGTGGTAAGCACTCAAGGCCACTCGGTACCCACATGGGTGGTAAGCACTCAAGGCCACTCGGTACTCACATGGGTGGTAAGCACTCAACGCCACTCGGTACTCACATGGGTGGTAAGCACTCAAGGCCACCTGGTACTAACACGGGTGGTAAGCACTCAAGGCCACCTTGTACTCACATGGGTGGTAAGCACTAAGGCCACCTGATACCCACATTGGTGGTAAGCACTCAAGGCCACCTGGTACTCACATGGGTGGTAAGCACTCAAGGCCACCTGGTACTCACACGAGTGGTAAGTACTCAAGGCCAAACGGGACTCACACGGGTGTCACACACACACTTCCTGAATCTTAACACTGATGTTTTCTGTGTTTAGACAGACTCCATGCAAGAACCAGCCTACTTGCAACTAGTTACATGTTGTAATACACTTAATACTGATTTAATAGCCCAACCTTTCATCCAAGCTATCACATTAACTTAAATAGTTTACTTATGCAAGCTGTGGCTGACGTGTGCACTGCTATCAAGATGACACATACAGCAAATTTGAGATACTTTCAAGTAGATATAACAAATGATCAGCTGTAACCAAGCTAATTCTACCCTAGCAATAGTGAGTGTTGTTCAGTGGCTCTGACTTCCCTGGTGCTGGGCACAGGGACAGCTGCTTGCCCTTCTAGTTAAATAACTGTTATCACATCGGCTCAGCTAAGAGACAAGGACACCATCCTGCCATCACATGATCATCGTCTGCACACCCGAGGAGCAGATCAAGGGAGCAGGCTCGGTAGAAAGAAGCTGGCAAAAGCAGCTCTCACAATAAATTATGTTGTGAGAAGCCATACAAATGTAAGGAATAGTGGCATATTCCAGCCCTCGACTATAAACGTGACAACTATGGGATATACATGACATATACCATACAGAACTATAAAATATACATGATATATGCCATACAGAACTATAGGATATACATGACATATACCATACAGAACTATAGGATATATATGATATATACCATGCAGAACTATAGGATATACATGATATATACCATACAGAACTATAGGATATACATGATATATACCATACAGAACTATAGGATATATATGATACATACAATACAGAACTGTAGGATATATATGATATATACCATACAGAACTGTAGGATATACATGATATATACCACAGAACTATAGCACATACATGATATATACCATACAGAACTGTAGGATATACACGATATATACCACACAGAACTACAATCATACTGATAGGTGCACTCACAGCATGTTGACTCAATCACAGACACACCACACGCAGAAATATTTTAATCTCACATCTGTCACATGTGATGAGCGAACATAATTCACCAGGCTACAGTTGAAGCACACAACATGGTCCAATATGATGGCTATAATGATCCAACATGGTACAAGCTTCAGCTGCATGTGTTAACTGCTGATGTTAAACGCTGATGTTAACCGCAATGTTCCTGCCACATGAGACACCAATTTTGAGGCTGGAAATTATTTCTCACACTGTTTCAATCTGCTTAGAATTCTCTTGTGGAAAATAGCATGTATCCAGTACAGAATGGACTGTCCCTTCGGTCACTATGGGTGTCATTACATATGAGTATGGGATATATGTGAATATTTATATCATATCCTACAACTAGTATGTTTCATCAGACACTGAGATGGGACTTGTGTGTAAGGGTGTGCTGTTATTGTCCTATCACATGGGAGTTGAGAATACTGCTATCCTACAACTAGGTATGTTTCATCAGACACTGAGATGGGACTTGTGTGTAAGGGTGTTCTGTTATTGTCCTATCACATGGGAGTTGAGAATACTGCTATCCTACAACTAGGTATGTTTCATCACACACTGAGATAGAACTTGTGTGTAAGGGTGTTCTCTTGTTATATCATATGAAGTTGAAAAACTGTTATCCTACAACTAGCTATGTTACATCACACACTGAGATAGAACTTGTGTGTAAGGGTGTTCTGTTATATCACAAGGAGCTGAGAAAATTGCTAACCTAAAACTAGCTATGTTTCATCTGCGTTAGGACTAAAACGTGGGGGGATATTGTTTTCCCCATTGCCGTCATATCACATGGTGTTGAGAAAGCCGTCCTGACAGTCTATATTTCGCTGGTGTTGTTCTTCTATGGAATCAATAGGTTGAAATATCATAACATTGTACACTGACATTCACAGCATCAACAATATCTTACAAACATTGTCCACAGGTTCTCACGCAAGCAACTGATCCTTGTTAAAGAACTCAATTTGCTCAATGGCTAAAGTAACAGTTCATATCACGATGTCAACAGAGAGAAGCTCTCCTGTATGAGTTATGTTGTTATCTATGATAACAACCACGCTCAGGGTCATAAGTGGTGAAAGAGCAGTAGGTCAACAAAACAGGGCTGACATTGAACTAAGGGAGGTAACTCATGTCATAGTGGCACATCAGGATTTTTGTGACTCACCACTAATCTTTGTCTCAAGATTTGTTTCAAGATATTTTAATGGGTGTTAAACCTTAATGAAGGATTTTCAAATCATAATTTAGGAAATGCTTCTCACATGCATCAATACTTCTAATACAAATATGATCTTACGGTAAAGAATGAAAAACATTTCAGCAGAGAGGATCTACAGAGAACACACGATGATACTGTGCAAAGCTGTGTAGACCAAAATATCAATAATCTCTACATACCAGAGTTACCTCCCTTTTACAAAGGACCACCCATTGTGGGAGTTTCCATTCTTATGGTTAGAGTTACTTCCCTTACACAGTGTTGTTTATGATGATTGAAATGTTGAGAAGATTCACTGTGTGATGATATCATTTGTTGAATAAGCTGATCCCATTGGTCCATCACATGTTCAATGGTAATGACATCGCCAGCAGATATCAGCTGATATCACCTGGAATCCCTGCTGTGGCAGGCAATAACTGAACTTGCAGGATAAGTCTGCTGAAATCCACCTGAGAGTGGTTCGTAATACAACTGATACACCTGTGATACATGTCTTCACACCTTAGACGATACATAGTATATCCACTGATAGTATAATATCCAAGGTACGATGAAGCACTATATCAGCCATGTAATAACACAAGTACACAATGTCACTGACAAGTCTGGGCAGGGGTATCCTCCCTGGAGAACCTTTCGTCAGAGTATGACACAACATTTACAGTACCGCTGCCGGCCCCCACCCACGGAAGGGGGCGGGGTCACAGGTGCGAAGTAGGCGTGAACTTTGATATCAGGAAGTCGCGTCTAAAACAGCAAAAACACATCATGTATTACTTGTATCTTATCATTTCGTAAGTTGGCTTTTACGCTTCTTTACACCAGCTTTACACAACAAGGGTCAAAAGGTCTGAGTATTTTGACAATGCGATTAACAGTTAATATAACATGTTGTTTATGCCTATATAGGACTGAAAAAATTGACAATGACTATTAAAAACATTGAAAAGTGGTGATAGAAAAAGCTTCTGAAAACACTGCCCTGAATGCAACTAGTGGTTTAGCCCATGCATGTGACGTACACACACAACATGTCACAAGAAGTTAAAGAATACCCAATACTATAGTTAATCTGTAATGGACATTCTTTAACTTCTTTGGAGTAGTGTAGAAAGATGCTAGTTTCAAGATGAAATTGAGAGACATGAGCATTTCTGATTAAATGCAATGTTTTTATACTTACTTGACGTTACACAGTGCCTATAGGTGTAGTGTCAGGTAAGGTAAAACACAAAGAATGGGTTCCAGAAATCCAACCACTATTGAAATCCGATCCCGGTTTTGGGTATGACAATACTGCACTTGACTTACCCGTAACCTGCGTATCCCAGCACGGGTGATTAGTTGACAATCGTAAAGTTCTATCCTCTCCAAACTCTGACACGCCATTAAATGCTCTAACGAGGCATCAGTAATTAGTGGGCAGTTGTCCAGCTCCAGAACCTCCAGGTGCTCGATGGCACACGGGCTGTTGCCCAGCTGGCGGATACCTTCATCTGTGATCAGCTCACAGTGGGAAAGACTCTGAAACACAACCAGCGTCGCCATCATCATCATCATCATCATCATCATCATCGTTATTAACATCTTTATCGTCAACATCATCATCAGTGTCACCATTAACATCATTGTCAATAACAACATGAACATCATCATTGTTAACATCATCTTCTGTGTCATCATGAACATCTTCATCGTCATTCTCAACAACATTATCAACATCATCATCTTCATCATCAACACATCATTGTCAACATTATTAATATCAACATCTTTACAAACATCATCATCATTGTCAACAGCATCAACGTGATGATGAACATCATTAATGTTAACATCATCAGTGTCAACATCAACATCATGAACATCATGGTCAACATTGTTAACATCATCATCAGTGTTAACATAACCATTACGTGGCAGCACATAGGCTCACCAAGTTCATGTATTTCATGTGACCTTCATGTGACCTTCACGTGACCTTCACGTGACCTTCATGTGATCTTCATGTGACAATGTAAGCTCTATCTGTTAGGTGACTAGAACATTCCTTGGTTGTTGTTTTTTCCACAAATTTTAATTTATTATTAACTGTTACCCATTTCCAACCTAAAACATATATAGCCTTATTGAAATCTCCATTGCATGAATGTATAACATGCACAGAATGTATGAGACTCACCAGGGCAGCAAGTTTATTACAGTACAAAGCTAGATGAGCAAGTGTTGTGTCTGTTATCTGAAACACAAGAAGACATGGCTGACTGGCATCCAGAGTGTGTGAGGTACTGAAGACACACGGCACCAGCCTGACTGACTACAGGAGTGGTCCAATGGCAATTCATTCATGAAGATCAAATATCCATCAATGTCAAGCCATAATCAACATAACATGAAAACAAGTAAATGGATCTTACGTTGCAATGATTTATTTAACGCCTGCCAGATCTTGAAGCGGACTACATTTTCACATTTTTACACCTATGACAGAGATGCTGATCATTTCCACAGTAAAATAGGATGATAAGAGAAATTATTTATTCATTGGAAATTTAAATCCCAAGAAAAATGAGCATTTTGGGATAAATAAAAAATATTTTTATTCTTACCTGACACTACACAGTGATTTAGCTTCCCTACCTCTCACAAACTGGTATGGTAAAACCTCGATTCTGTCTGATGGAAAACTTGCAATCTGTTATCCCCTTACATAAACAAACTTAAAGAATTTTGAATGGAACATCAAACTTTTGAACTGCCCCATAACTAGAAGTGAGTCCACAACATCTGTACTGCCACTGATTAAAGGTGAGGAGGCACTCACCTGGACACACTCTTCTAGGTCCATCTTCTCAAGTTCGTGACAATTCTGTAACAATAGGATCCAGGTGAGGAACAATTGGATATAGGTAAGGAACAATAGGATGTAGGTTTTGTTTTTTGTTTGTTTGTTTGTTGTTTATCGCCGCACTCGGCAATATTCCAGCTATTTGACAGAGGTCTGTAAATAATCGAGTCTGGAACAGACAATCCAGTGATTGACATCATGAGCATCGATCAATGCAATTGGGATAGGATGACATGCATCAACCAAGTCAGCGAGCCTGACCACCAGATCCTTTTTGTCACCTCTTACGGCAAGCATAGTCGCCTTTTACAGCAAACAGCAAGCGCGCGTGCGTGCATGTGTGTGTGTGTCTGTCAGTCTGTGTGTGTGCATGTGTGTGCGTGTGCGTGTGCGTGTGCGTGTGCGTGTGTGTGTGTGTGGCAGACCTACCCTTGCCAGCGCCTGGAAGCCGCTGTCTGTCAGATGACTGCACCCTGCCACCTCCAGAGTTCTGAAAACACAGAAATACAACCTGATTGCAGGATCCAGCTGCCATGGCCTACCCAGTCTGTTCAGTAAGTGAAGGATATACGGATCAATATCTACACAAGCAGTTCAGTCAGTGCAGGATCTCTCCAACCACTTCATTAAGAGTAGGATTTGCTTTCATCATTTACATCAATACAAGTGCAGTGTATCTACTGGGTCCTTGCTGTCCTTGAAACCCGTACTTACTTGAGGTTTGTGCAGCCAGTGCCGAGGGCATTGAGTGATGCGTCTGTAAGGCGGGGGCAGTTGGACACACACAGGAAGCTCAGCGCGTGGCAGCATAGACTTATCGTGTTCACCGCGTCATCCGTGATATGCTGAAACACAAATCAGATGTGAGGTGAGGTGAAATTGGGTTTAACGTCGCGTCCAAAGTTATTGCACTTACATAGCGACGTGCATGCACGTGTGTGTGTGTGGCTGCTTGTACTAGTCTTGACTGATGCCGATTTATAGTGCTATCCCACTGAGATACCATGCCGCAGTTTAACATGAATACCCCACTCAGACACAGTATACTGACTCCAGTTCTTGTTTTAGCCCCTTAGTGCCGAGCGCCAGACAGGGTAACAACAAGTACCATCTTTTAACGTCTTTTGGTATGACGCGGCCGGGATCGAACCCCGGACCTTCCGCTCTCCGGGCGAACGCTCTACCACTAGACCACGGAGGCGGTCCACAAATCAGATGCAGTTTGTGCAGCTTATGTAGGTAGAGCTATGTTAGTGCCTATGTTGACACTGCAGGGCTTGTGCTTACAGAGAAACTGAGTTTAATGCCTATGTTGGTAGAAATACCAGAATGAATCCATACACTTATGTGGTTTGGGTTGGGGTGTGGGGTGTAGCGGGACTAATGCTCAAGCAGCTACAGCTTTGACTAGCGGTTACCTAGATACACTACTGTGGGGCTTTGTGTATGTTAATACATCAAAACTATCAAATGAGTGCTTACCTGACAACCTTGTAAATTGAGTTTCCTAAGATCTGTAGCATTTTGTGCTAAGTGACGTATTCCATCATCTCCGATCTGTGGACAAAGAGAGCCCTTCATGACTTACAATGGTACTGAGATCACTCATAGGTAGGTCCCATCACCTTCCGGGTACCCATCTACAGCTGGGTAGAATACCTCATGTCAGGAATTTAAAGTGGACCCAATCCATCATGCAATATCTTGGATGAGCTGCGATTGTTGTTAAAGACAGGATATGTTTTGCTCAGTGCTTAAACAAGAGACAATTCTTTTCTGTCAAAGGATGGGCTGAACAATTTATATTTTTGCACATTTTTGTCTGAACATCCAGCATGTCCAGGAGCAGTTTTATTTCTTATTTCAAACCCAGAGCATCTTCTGGAACATTGTTTTTTTAAATATGAGGCCCTCTCAGAATATGAAATAGTTGGCCCCCTACTACATCACATAATCTCCTTGGGAATTTATATTTGATCTATCGTAAGTGACTAATATAACACATTCAGAAACCAACATACAAACTTAGTTTGTGTCATAATTATTACTATTCGTTTAACAAAATTGCGTCAGTAATGATGAATCTGTGCACGAAATGATACAAACAAAATTATAATAGCATCAGTAACTGTTAGTAATGTGTAATTTATGCAATTACACACCCTAGCTGCAACACTGACACTGGGCCTCGCTCCACACCAGAACACAGTTTCTCCTCCACAAGGAATGATATTTGTGGAATAATGGTGGTCTCTCAAAACAGCAAAAAAAGCCATATTCAAATATTCTTAGAATGATTTCTACCTTAAAACAAGGAAACTCTACCATGTCTACCATTACAGTAATTTACTGAACAAGTACCCCCATTGTGATAGGTCGTTGCATGATGAATATTTCTGACAACTGGATCTTCTTGTATTTGATGCAGACAGAAAATGTATTTGGGTGTGAAGTAGTTAAAGACAAGGTTAAACACGTATGTTTTCACAATGTAATGAAAGTTATGGGAGTCATCAAACTGGTTCAGTCTAGTTCCAACCAGTTGACTCTGGACTGACCTGATTACAGCCTCGGGCTATGAAGATCTTCATCTTGGGGCAGCCCTTGGCGAGGGCTTCCACACCATCGTTGGTGATCTGCATGCACCATGATATGTCCACCACCTCCAGAAGTCTGCAACCATCGCTGCCCAAAACAAGGAACAGGGTGTTACATGGACAGTCAGGTATTGTTTATTTTTGTGTAACGCCGCACTCAACAATACTACAGCTATATGATGGCAGTCTGTAAATAATCGAGTCAGGATCAGACAATCCAGTGATTGACATCATGATCCATGCAATTGGGAAACAATGACATGCTAAGTCAGTGAGCTTGACCACCCAATCCTGTTAGTCTCCTCTTATGCATTTTAAGGCAAGAATGGGTTGCTCAAGACCTATTTTCCATGGGTCTGACACCTGTGAGCACAGGTAAGGTGCTGGCAAACCTACAAACATAACCAGGGCGAATTGGGATTCAAACCCACAGTCTTGGTTTTAAGATGCCTCAGGGGACACAACTCTGCATAGCTATTCGCAGTGCCTTGCAGGGACCACCGTGCCCTTGGGTCATATTTAATCTAAGTTACACATAGATTTTTCAACATACAATCCATTGTCACTAAATATAGAAGAAAAACTAAGAAATGACATCAATTTGTAACATTGGTAAATATGGATGACATATTTTTCTCAACAAGGGGGCAGAGTGCCTCAATTCTAATTGAGAATCTCTACATTGCACATGCAATAATTGAAAGTTATTACATTTGTTTTACTGCCTTTAGGGGTGATATTGTTGCTTACATCACAGCGAACAACACAATCCAGTTGGTACTTTGAGAGGGAACTTTTCAGCAATATTCCTGCCATATTAAGGCAGTGACATTACGTACTGCCTTTCACATTGTACACATGTGCTGGACTTTTAGAAACATCAGAGAAAACGAAGCCTGACCACCTACCTGAGAGCTTTTAATGAGTTGTTTGTGATATCAGGGCAGGAACTCAAATCTAGTTTCATCAGCTTTAAGCTGTTCTTTCCTAGGCTTTCACATGTTCTGAAAAGAGAAGTTGGTTGTACATAATGATTGCATGTGATGCTTGTTTGGATCTGTTGTTGAAGCAATACAGCAGCAGTCAGAGAGGAAGCTAACTGAACAGCTTGCAGACATTACACTTTGGAACCCAGGGCACTGAAAGACTGTTTGTTGTTCACTGGTAAACACGAGAGACTGTCAGCCATTGAGGTATACTGGGGCACAGCGAGACTGTCTGCCATTGTGGTTCACTGGGGCACAGAGACAGTCAGCCATTGTGGTTTACTGGGGCACAGAGACAGTCAGCCATTGTGGTTTACTGGGACACAGAGACAGTCAGCCATTGTGGTTTACTGGGGCACAGAGAGACTGTCAGCTATTGTGGTTTACTGGGGCACAGAGAGACTGTCAGCCATTGTGGTTTACTGGGACACAGAGAGACAGTCAGCCATTGTGGTTTACTGGGGCACAGAGACAGTCAGCCATTGTGGTTTACTGGGACACAGAGACTGTCAGCCATAGAGGTTTACTGGGGCACAGAGAGGCTGTCAGCTATTGTGTTTACTGGGGCACAGAGAGACTGTCAGCCATTGTGGTTTACTGGCACAGAGAGACAGTCAGCCATTGTGGTTTACTGGGGCACAGAGAGACTGTCAGCCATTGTGGTTTACGGGGACACAGAGACAGTCAGCCATTGTGGTTTACTGGGACACAGAGACTGTCAGCCATTGAGGTTTACTGGGGCACAGAGAGACTGTCAGCTATTGTGGTTCACTGGGGCACAGAGACAGTCAGCCATTGTGGTTTACTGGGGCACAGAGACAGTCAGCCATTGTGGTTTACTGGGACACAGAGACAGTCAGCCATTGTGGTTTACTGGGACACAGAGACTGTCAGCCATTGAGGTTTACTGGGGCACAGAGAGACTGTCAGCTATTGTGGTTTACTGGGGCACAGAGAGACTGTCAGCCATTGTGGTTTACTGGGACACAGAGAGACAGTCAGCCATTGTGGTTTACTGGGGCACAGAGACAGTCAGCCATTGTGGTTTACTGGGACACAGAGACTGTCAGCCATAGAGGTTTACTGGGGCACAGAGAGACTGTCAGCTATTGTGTTTACTGGGGCACAGAGAGACTGTCAGCCATTGTGGTTTACTGGCACAGAGAGACAGTCAGCCATTGTGGTTTACTGGGGCACAGAGAGACTGTCAGCCATTGTGGTTTACTGGGGCACAGAGACAGTCAGCCATTGTGGTTTACTGGGACACAGAGACAGTCAGCCATTGTGGTTTACTGGGGCACAGAGAGACTGTCTGCCATTGTGGTTTACTGGGACACAGAGACTGTCTGCCATTGTGGTTTGCTGGGGCACAGAGAGACTGTCAGCCATTGTGGTTTACTGGGGCACAGAGACAGTCAGCCATTGTGGTTTACTGGGGCACAGAGACAGTCAGCCATTGTGGTTTACTGGGGCAGGAAAGACTACTTGTACTCACACATCTGTAATCTTCTTGCAGTTATTCAAACAGAGTGTGTCTATGTTTCTGCATTGCTCTGCAAATTTTCTGTAAAAGAGAAAACAAATACATGTACAATATCATCTTATTATCAGTGGTGGGTGGTGTGGGGTGCACAGCCTTTCATGTTGTTGTGGTTGGTGGTATCGTGGGTCTTGATGGTGGTGTGGTGAGTGTTGCTGTTGGTGGTGTGGTGGGTGTTGCTGTTGGTGGTAAGGTGGGTGTTGTGGTTGGTGGTATCGTGGGTCTTGGTGGTGGTGTGGTGAGTGTTGCTGTTGGTGGTGTGGTGGGTGTTGCTGTTGGTGGTAAGGTGGGTGTTGTGGTTGGTGGTATCGTGGGTCTTGATGGTGGTGTGGTGAGTCTTGCTGTTGGTGGTGTGGTGGGTGTTGCTGTTGGTGGTAAGGTGGGTGTTGTGGTTGGTGGTATCGTGGGTCTTGGTGGTGGTGTGGTGAGTGTTGCTGTTGGTGGTGTGGTGGGTGTTGCTGTTGGTGGTAAGGTGGGTGTTGTGGTTGGTGGTATCGTGGGTCTTGATGGTGGTGTGGTGAGTGTTGCTGTTGGTGGTGTGGTGGGTGTTGCTGTTGGTGGTAAGGTGGGTGTTGTGGTTGGTGGTATCGTGGGTCTTGATGGTGGTGTGGTGAGTGTTGCTGTTGGTGGTGTGGTGGGTGTTGGTGTTGGTGGTAAGGTGGGTGTTGTGGTTGGTGGTATCGTGGGTCTTGGTGGTGGTGTGGTGAGTGTTGCTGTTGGTGGTGTGGTGGGTGTTGCTGTTGGTGGTGTGGTGGGTGTTGCTGTTGGTGGTAAGGTGGGTGTTGTGGTTGGTGGTATCGTGGGTCTTGGTGGTGGTGTGGTGAGTGTTGCTGTTGGTGGTGTGGTGAGTGTTGCTGTTGGTGGTGTGGTGGGTGTTGGTGTTGGTGGTAAGGTGGGTGTTGTGGTTGGTGGTATCGTGGGTCTTGATGGTGGTGTGGTGAGTGTTGCTGTTGGTGGTGTGGTGGGTGTTGGTGTTGGTGGTAAGGTGGGTGTTGTGGTTGGTGGTATCGTGGGTCTTGGTGGTGGTGTGGTGAGTGTTGCTGTTGGTGGTGTGGTGGGTGTTGCTGTTGGTTGTGAGGTGGGTGTTGTGGTTGGTGGTATCATGGGTCTTGGTGGCATTGTGGTGAGTGTTGGTGCTGATGGTGTCAAGTGTGGTGTTTTTGTTTTTGTTGTGTCGTGACTGTAATTTGGTGGGTATTGTTGCTGTTCTTGTTGGTGGGTATTGTTGCTGTTCTTGTCAGTGTTGTTGTTGCTGTTGGTGGTGTGGTTGGTGTTGTTGCTGTTGGTGGTGTGGTTGGTGTTGTTGTTGTTGCTGTTGGTGGTGTGGTGAGTGTTGCTGTTGGTGGTGTGGTTGGTGTTGCCGTTGGTGGTGAGGTGAGTGTTGTTGTTGGTGGTGTGGTTGGTGGTGTCGGTGGTGGTGTGGTGGGTGTTGTTCGTGGTGTGGTGGGTGTTGTTGGTGGTGTGGTGGGTGTTGGTGGTGTGGTGGGTGTTGTTGTTGCTGTTGTAGGTGTGGTGGGTGTTGTTGCTGTTGGTGGTGTGGTGGGTGATGTTATTGCTGTTGGTGGTGTGGTGGGTGTTGTTGCTGTTGGTGGTGTGGTGGGTGATGTTATTGCTGTTGGTGGTGTGGTGGCTGTTGTGGCTAATGAGTGTACTTACATCAAGGCTGAGTCGGTGATGCTCTGACAACCCCTCAGACTCAGGGACTTCAGAAATCCCCCACATCTCTTGGAAATGTTCTCAACGACTGGACCCTATGGGAACACAGACAGCACACTTACATTGGCAACTACTTGACAGCTATGTTGTTGGACAAGCTATGCTCCTGGCCTCACTCCTTGCAGGAGACTAGTTAAAGTTCCAAGGGGTATATACATTGTAGAAAGCAACTCATATCTGTTACTAGTTTAATTTTGAAAACTGTTCTCACAAAGTGACTGATATTTTTCTTGGCTGCTGTTTTTCAGGTCTTCCACACAGTTATTTGTAAGCCATGACACTCTGTACTAAAAGTGTAGTTGTCAAAATTAAAAAAATATCTTGACTCCATTTCAGTAAAGAAAAGACTACCGGTAATGGCTGGTTCTTGTTCATTATCATCATCCACAATTATCAAGTGTATTCAAATAGCATGACAAGAAATAACCATGATGCGGCCGGGGATCGAACCCTGACCTTCTGCTCTCCGGGCAGACGCTCTACCACTAAACCATGGAGGCAGTTGCTTAGAGCTAGCAGTGACAGAGATGGTAAGGTCACTTCCGAAAATGAAGCTAAGGTGTTTATGGGCCCAGGGTACATGTTACGGAAGGGTGGAGACGTAAATCCCTGGACAATCAACATGATCAAGGATGGTTTATAATGGATAGTAACTGTGTTTGACTATGACCCCATTTTATCATCCAAAACTGGCTCCCACAGGACATATGGCTTGGTTGAGATCAAGCGATATCTACACTGTAGATATCGCTGCAATGAAATTGCATCACAATGCTTTGCAGACCATTGTGACATCATTGGTTACCATGACGTCACAATCAAAGACATCACTGACTCTGCTGCTGAAGCTGTTAGCAGTACTTTTTACACTAAGACACTGTTCATTACTTTCTACAAACTAAAAAAGTTGGAAGAATGATGTTGGATGATAAATAAAATCTCACCCTTGTGTCTTTTGATATCAAATATATCAACACTCGTTGATAAAAGTGGAAAAAGTCCTCGGCAAGCCTCAGAGTTTTCTCACTTTTATCAACTCGTTTTGATATTTTTTATATCAAAAGACACTCGGGTGAGATTCTCTATATCACAAAGTCATAATACCAGCCATACCAGCCCACCCTTACATGATATGTAGAGACAGAAGACCCGCGTCCTGCAGGCTGAGGACTGAAGCTGCATTCTCACTATGTCCACCATCAATGTACGACACGGGTAAATGTCCAGAAAATATAGAGTCGGTGACTACGTACCTCAACATCTGTCTGGAAGTCAAAGAGATCAACTCTCTGCCAGTTGCTCCCATCTAGTGCCAGGACATTCCAGAACTGAAATACCAGCAGAACTGTCAGTAACATGGCATCTGGTGAGTGAGTGAGTGAGTGAGTGAGTGAGTGATACCAGCAGAACTGTTAGTAACATGACATCTGTTGAGTGAGTGAGTGATTGAGTAAGTGAGTGACTGAGCTCATCTTCCCATGGCAAGGGAGTTAGCTGGCTTTCAAAGTCCAGTTTCCACCCTTGCCGAACTATGCTGGAAATATGGAGCAATATATTGGCTGGACTAACCAGTCTATGCATAATCCAGTCAAATTGATTAGCAAAGTAGACAATTGGCTTGTAAACTGCTGTGCAGATTTCGGTCGAGAACTCGGCATCAACAGTTATCTTCCAAATCTTTTCATGCAATTTGATTGGAACTTTGTGAAGTAAGACCTGTTTTATTACAATATAGATTTTGTTTATCTATCAGATCGTCTTGACTGGGCGCTGTCACTTTGAAGCAGATGTAATCGATATGAGAGGTGGAATCTGATTGGTCAATAGGAAGGACATATAAGGACATAACTCGTAATAGCCACGGGTGGCACTACGATCGAGCCCAGAAATTCAAGCCTAATTCAGCAAGAGTGAAAACCGGACTCTTAAAGTTAGTTAACTCCCTTGCCTCAGAAAGATGGATTGTGCCAGATCTATTAAAATACGCAAGTACATGCAAAAATAAAGTCAGTACTGAGTGACCTTGTTTTAAAACACCCTACTCCTCCACCAATCAGGGGTGAGTGAGTGAGATGGGACAACGTACGACAAACATTTCATCACAACAATGAAAGACAGAATTATCATTGCATAGTATTTCAGTCCACAAAGAAAGATGCCATCATCTGCACCACAACAAGCAAACAAACAAAACTGCACCACTAGGTCTTAGAAATAGCAGTACTAGAAGATATCATACAAAGTAGTAACGACATAGCAATCCCATGAGGTATTTCAGGCCTACAAAGGACCACTCTCCTATTCAGATTCAGCCTAGTACCTCTGCCAAAAGCCAGCGCCATGTGAAGATTCGTTACATCTTACACAGTCCATTTAAGATATTGCATATGTTTTTCATCTGTTTCATTTTTGATGAGTCTACATATCTAGATAAACATATGTCATAGAATGGTTAAATTTCAAGAAAATATCCCCAAACATGAAAAACTATTTCCATTTGCATTGTTATCCTTTGTTTACATTGGTTGTACTGCTCCACGTGCTGTCATCGAAGCTCTACAGAGAGCTGGTGATATGGCCACTTTCAGGTATAAAGATATAATGTCATGCACATCACTATCGCAGTTGTAGTAGCATATCTATATAATTATGCAAAACAATATGTAAAGCACATCGTAAGGTTTGCATTAGGTCAGTCTGTTCTGATTTCAGAATAAACATGTTTGTTTACAAACAAGAGAAAAGTCTGGTCACGTGATATGCAAATAAGCCTGAGGCAATGGTGTTATGCTGAGTCACCATTGTGCCGGAGTGTGAAATAGGACCTGATCTTATTAGACGGGACTACACAGGAACTGACCTTTGACACTTGAGCACATCGGCACAGAGACACCACATCAAGGAAGGAGAAGATCCTGAAGACAGAAACAACACTGTGAGATACATCTGTGTTCATGGCATGAATGGGGTCACCACAGTTCTTCCACGTCACAAAACAACTGTAAATTGTTACTTTGGGTGACCATACTTTAGTAGCACATCTTGGGACATCATGCTCCAATACAGGAATAGTGGAATAGTGAATCCTGCATATACAAACAGCTGCTACTATGGATCATGTGTTGTTGCAGTCCAGACTATCACAGTACATAGGGCTAGTCTGTTACTTCTAGTACATAAAATAGGGCTAGTCTGTTACTTCTAGTACATAAAATAGGGCTAGTCTGTTACTTCTAGTACATAAAATAGGGCTAGTCTGTTACTTCTAGTACATAAAATAGGGCTAGTCTGTTACTTCTAGTACATAAAATAGGGCTAGTCTGTTACTTCTAGTACATAATGTAAGGGCTTGGGTGTATTTGTCATGACTTAGTAAGTACATAAAATAGGGCTAGTCTGTTACTTCTAGTACATAAAATAGGGCTAGTCTGTTACTTCTAGTACATAAAATAGGGCTAGTCTGTTACTTCTAGTACATAAAATAGGGCTAGTCTGTTACTTCTAGTACATAAAATAGGGCTAGTCTGTTACTTCTAGTACATAATGTAAGGGCTTGGGTGTATTTGTCATGACTTAGTAAGTACATAAAATAGGGCTAGTCTGTTACTTCTAGTACATAAAAGACGGTGAGTCTGTTACTTCTAGTACATAATGTAAGGGCTTGGGTGTATTTGTCATGACTTAGTAAGTACATAAAATAGGGCTAGTCTGTTACTTCTAGTACATAAAAGACGGTGAGTCTGTTACTTCTAGTACATAATTTAAGGGCTTGCGTGTATTTGTCATGACTAGTACATAAAATAAGGGCTTGTTTGTCACTTCTAGTACATAAAATAGGGCTAGTCTGTTACTTCTAGTACATAAAAGACGGCGAGTCTGTTTCTTCTAGTACATAATGTAAGGGCTAGGGTGTATTTGTCACTTCTAGTACATAAAATAAGGGCTTGTTTGTCACTTCTAGTACACAAAATAGGGCTAGTATGTTACTTCTAGTACATAATGTAAGGGCTAGGGTGTATTTGTCATGACTAGTACATAAAATAAGGGCTTGTTTGTCACTTCTAGTATATGAGGTTTGTTTGTCAGGACTCGTACAATATTGTGCTCCAGTCGTAAATCACAAGTTATTGGATACAGCCCTTTATCTCCCTGGAGGCCAAAGGGACATAAATGGCCTCCCTCTTCAACCCCAACTTCGAAGACGAACATAATTCAAGATAAAGTGAGATAAAAATTAAGTAATATACCAATGACGTCTTTTTGGAAGTTGCCAGAGACATAAAACAAATCATGACGGCAAATAAATTTATGTAAACTTTTTGTAATTCATTACATTTGATGATAAGTCTAGTACTGCAGCATTAGTCAAATTACACCTAACGATCAGGTGAATGAAGGAATCTAAGGACTAATTACATCTAGGACTTGTTACATAGGGCATCCATTTCTCTGTTTGACTCGGGGTCATAGTGGTTAATCCATGTTTTATCACCAGTTACTAATCTCTTTTGGAATTTGAAGAAATCCTCCCTCAGCTCTAAATTTTCTCCGGCAATGTCAGTATTTTTTCCCTTAAGATCAGGAATTAGAATTTAGAACCTTAGGCACCCAACAAGCAGATATCTTATTCATCTGTAAATGTTCATGAATAATAGTTTCAATGGATCCATGGCTTCGACCTGTGTCTTCCTCAAGTTCAGCAATGGTAATACGTCTATCTGACAGTATAAGTTTTTCTATCTCCTGATTGAATCTTCAATGGTGGAAGTTGAGGTCCAGCTTAGGGTCATCATGGAGGCTTTTTCTCCCAGCCATAAACATAGCTGCCCAACGCTTAACAGTGGAATAGGGCACTTATCCCCGTACACCCGTGACATGATCATTTCTGGGGGCGTACTCTTCTCTACAGCCAAAAACTTGATGACTGCTCAGTACTCGTTCTTTTCCATTTCTGTGTCCATTTGGACCCCTTTCACATTCAACTTGCTGTCATTAATATACAAACGGACTCAACAGACCAAATACACTTGCAATGAACTACTCCAACAATGTACTACATTGACTAGTTCAGTTTGTTATGGTCCATAGTTAAAAGTTAGTCAGGCTGAGAACTTTTTGACCAGCCCTCATAAACACACAATAAAAAGAGGCAGAATTTGCTATTTCTTAACACATAACCAAATATAGCACGACATTAGCAGTGTCTGTTTTTTAAACCAGTTCAATATTTGCAGTACATTTTACACCCATCGGTCTCACAATAAACGCTTCACCCACCAAGCTGCCCAAATGCCCTTGACAGACATGAAATAGTATTCTGCCATGAATTTGGAAATTATCCGATTCTGACTGATCAATCAGAGGCTATTAAATCACAATAAACCCCCTCTGAAACAGCTGGCTTGACAGCCACATCACCGTGGAAGCTAATATTCATAGAATAGTACTTTTTTCAGTCATTGTCGGTAGGCATATTTAATTAGTTATATCTACAATTACAGGTAATGAAATGCAAAGTTAAGGTTACAACGATATTCAAAGGATATGTGGCAATACATTTCATGCAGAAAACACGATAGAAATCTACAAAGGGAATATATATAAGTTTTGGGGACAAGAGAGAGCTTGGAATATGAGACTTCTCTTTTGCGTCACAATGATTGATATGACGTCATAATTGGGACGTGCGGTGTGGTACAAGCTTTGCAAAGCTTGCTTAGTTTTTTAGGGGTGCCCACCTCACGTTAGCTTACGAAGATGCTGTGCTTATATGCTGTCAATGCCTGATTTATTTGAGGTATTCCATGTAAACAAACTGCCTCAGCATATACAGCGCTATATTTTGTTTACAGGCTGTTGTCGGTTATTCTGTAATTCAGATTGACAACCCACTCAAAACACTGGACACAACCCATGCCGCTTCACTCAATATAATTGCTGACATCACAGAGTTCACGTTTTATTTAGTCACGGAAGAAAGGAGATAAACATACTGTGTTTTAAATGTAGAGCTAGGTTACCCGTAGATATAATCGTGCTCAAAATCAGTTAATGAAAAACATAAATCATAGATGCGAAGCAATCCTATTTTTCATTGATTTTAAACCATTCATGGAACCCATATGAAATAAAACAGAACTGAAAATTTTACAATAAATTGTATTTTTATATACTTATCCTATTTCACACTATTCATTTCTCCTCCTTTCCATCTTGGTGTGGAAACGCCCTAGAACAAAGTTTCCAGCTTAAAGAGACCATTACACCCAAATACATCCCAGCATCACCTTGGTCACCACCCAAACAAATGGGTTACACACTGTAATCCCGTGCATAGTGACCCTGCCAAGCTGACCACCTGACAAAATGTATCTTATTCTCTTTCTTAGAGCAGACAGGCTAGAGAAACTGTGATGTGGGGATGGTTGGGTGGGCATAGGGCATGTGAGATAGGATAAGTTTATAAATTTGAAGATTTTACAATAAATTGTATTTTTATATACTTATCCTATCTCACACTTTGCATTCATCCCATGGTTGGATGGTAGGGTGCAGATACCCTAGCCTGTCATTAGACTACAACCGGGAAATATACACAAATGCTATAAACAAACAGTTATTACACTGTTATTACACCATATCAGGTGATGCGACCACTGTACATCATAATGAAATCAGGTATAACATGTGTGATGTTTTTTCACGTAGGACATCATTACACGAACGACTGCATAGCTTTGAAATGGAACCTATTCAGCCATGACTAAGAACCAATTCGCATGTGGTCTACTGTCAATTAGTTCTACAAGAGAGACCACATCTCCAACAGACAATAAGGGGAGCCATCTCTTTTAACGCATCGCCAATGCTATCAACCATGCCTGCAGTCTTGAAGAATGCTAACATGAGAAGGGGAACGATCGACAATATCCACAAGAGGATCTTCAAACCAATACTGAGACATCACATGCACAAGGCAGAGGTGAGCAGGTATAGGCTTGGGACAATGCTGAAACTGCGACTTCGGGCGACTTCGATGTTGAAGACCGGAGTCTCTACAGATGAACTGTTTGGCCCACAACTGGGTACTCAGTCTGGGAACCCGAATGACAATAAACAAAGGAGGGACTTCCAATATTCATGTACAATGTGACCAGTTGTTTACAAACAAAAAAGCACAGCCAGCTATAACCGACATCACATTTATTCCATTGTGGCATGATAATCATTATTTAGCGGTGATGGTAGAGTGGTGAAAAGGCTGAAAAAATACAAATAAAGCCTAATTAAGTCTATTATTTTAACTTGAAAGTTACATATCTTTATAATTTTTTTGAATAAAACCATCTTAAGAAAGGGTTCTTTGGTATTTTACTATCTAGTGTTAACAATGACCAGGTAGGTACACAGATATTTTATGACACTTCACTCACTTCAACTTCAATACGGCAACAACGAAACTTTGAGAAAACTTAACAAATTTGGCGTTAACATCATTTACCATGCTTACAAATATTATCAGGGAACACAAATGATTGTACTTACACTGTGGGGACTGTATAAAACATGTTGAATTCTGTTGTAATAGGTAAAGAAATAGAAGTAAACAAGTATTTGTCACAGAGTGACGAAATATCCCCCGCCTGTACACCATAGTACCAAATATGAAGACAATCCAGCGATTAGTTCTTGAGATATTGTGGCAACACCGTTTTCCAACTCCAAAAACAGATTTGCCTGCTGTGACCTTGAAAATGGGGTCAAGGTCACCAAATCTGACAGGTGTATGCGGTGTCTGTATATACACCATAGTTCCAAATATGAAGACAATCCAGCGATTAGTTCTTGAGATATCGCGGCAACACCGTTTTCTAACTCCAAAAGCAGATTTGCCTGCTGTGACCTTGACAATGGGGTCAAGGTCACCAAAACCAACTGGTGTCTGCGGTGTCTGTATATACACCATAGTTCCAAATATGAAGACAATCCAGTGTTTAGTTCTTGAGATATCGCGGCAACACCGTTTTCCAACTCCAAAATCAGATTTGCCTGCTGTGACCTTTAAAATGGGATCAAGGTCACCAAAACCGACTGGTGTCTGCGGAGTCTGTATATACACCATAGTTCCAAATATGAAGACAATCCAGTGTTTAGTTCTTGAGATATCGCGGCAACACCGTTTTCCAACTCTAAAAGCAGATGTCTGCTGTGACCTTGAAAATGGGATCAAGGTCACCAAAACCGACTGGTGTCTGCGGAGTCTGTATATACACCATAGTTCCAAATATGAAGACAATCCAGTGTTTAGTTCTTGAGATATCGCGGCAACACCGTTTTCCAACTCCAAAAGCAGATATGCCTGCTGTGACCTTTAAAATGGGATCAAGGTCACCAAAACCGACTGGTGTCTGCGGAGTCTGTATATACACCATAGTTCCAAATATGAAGACAATCCAGTGTTTAGTTCTTGAGATATCGCGGCAACACTGTTTTCCAACTCCAAAAGCAGATATGCCTGCTGTGACCTTGAAAATGGGGTCAAGGTCACCAAAACCGACTGGTGTCTGCGGAGTCTGTATATACACCATAGTTCCAAATATGAAGACAATCCAGTGTTTAGTTCTTGAGATATCGCGGCAACAAACAGGTGGGACGTACGGACGGACGGACGGACGGACGTACGGACGGACGGACGGACGGACGTACGACGGTCGTGAATACTATATCCCCCGCTTCGCGCTTTCGCGCGGCGGGGGATAAAAACAACATGCTTTCAGCGTGAAAACGCAAATCTAATCTCTTTAGACGGGAGAGCTTCCAAAGCGAAGTAAATCATGACTGCCAAACATTGAAGGGTTGTACAATACCCATGAGTGACAGAGCATACAGGAAATGGAGTACTGTGCTGTAGGACCTGGTACATGGTATCATCTATCTGTGCTGGTGGGAAACCATTAGTTGTTGCCCAAGGACCAAGAGACTGAACTGGCAGAGGCCATGAAAGTCAGTGACTGAGATGTCAAATAGACAGCTTCTGTCGATGATAGGATTGTTGGGAAAAACGTAGGAGTACGCCGGATGGTTGTGTCCAAGTGGGCGAGGTCACGGTCATCAATGACGAACGCTTGGGGCTGAGGTTCGTAATGTCTCCATACAGTCTGGAGCCAGGGCGGTAGCGGACATGACATGGGTGCTGGCATAAGACAAGTTGTACAGAGGAGACTGGCGTCTAAAAGGCCTTGTCCCTGTTACTAGAGACACCAGTCATAACGGGCCTGGGAGGTAATGTGATGGTGGAGGAGCTGGCACTTGGTACGACAAATCCAGTAAAATGATCATCAGCTGAGACAATTCTGTTCAAGTTGAGAATGATCCCAGGTGGTAGGCAAAGGGATAGCAGACGTCGGGTCCCTCATAGTGGGAGATGGCGATGCAAAAGGGTAGAAATGCATGTGACTATGTCAATCCCTGGGAGGAGGAAGTAAATCATGACTGCCAAATATTGAAATCATCTATCTGCGCTGGTGGGAAGCCATGTGCTGTTGCGCCAGGACCAAGGGACTGAACTGGCAGAGGCCATGAACGTCAGTGACTGAGATGTCACATAGACAGCTTCTGTCGATGATAGGATTGTTGGGATAAGCGTAGGAGTACGCCGGATGGTTGTGTCCAAGTGGACGAGGTCACGGTCATCAATGACGAACGCTTGGGGCTGAGTGTAGTAATATCTCCATCGAGACTGGAGCCTGGGTAGCGATTCCATCTACGATGTAGATTTCTGTCATCACTTTGATAATTACGTTGCTGTGAGTTCGAATCGAAGGAACAGGAACAATCCTGACTTGGACGTCGATCCGATTGGCTAGTAGATTGATCCCTCACTGATTGGCTGAATCAGAATGATAACTGGCCTCAGAAGACTGGAGATTGTCATGTCGAGGTTGAGCGTATTGCGTTCTATCGTCCTTATTAGCATGCTCTTGATCTATATCATGTCGATCCTGGGAACCTCGATTTCTTAGACGTCAATCCCCTGAGTGCTGATCCTGGAGATGTCTATCTGTAGACCAAGATATGTCAATCCCTGGGATGTTGATCCTTATACCATTGATCCCAAGAATGTCGATCTATCGAACGTCAAACTCAAGAACGTGATCTTTTGATGAAGGATTTTGATCCATATCCAAGGTGAGAGATCATTCCTGGCTCTTCTTTCCTTTTGTTGAAGGAGATGTCGAACGTGAAACATTGACCCCTTCAGAGGTGGATACTACAGGTCGACTTGGAAATGACTGAGGTCCGTGACAAAGCATCCTGGTCGCTGGTACCTTAATCATTCGACGGAGGAGCGGGGAATGCTGGGAGGGTCTCCCTAGAGATTGTTTAGCTGGCGTGGATAAGCTGTCCTTAGCCATAACTAGGCGTATGTCCATGGCTGTAAGATGAACTAATTTAGGTGTGGTGACGGGTGCACTAGGAACTGACGAGGTTATAGTTTTGGCGGGAATATCTTCATTCAAGAAACTGTTAAAGTGAGTGAGTGAGTATGGTTTTACGCCGCTTTTAGCAATATTCCAGCAATATCACGGCGGGGGACACCAGAAATGGGCTTCACACATTGTACCCATGTCGGGAATCGAACCCAGGTCTTCGGCGTGACGAGCGAACGCTTTAACCACTAGGCTACCCAACCGCCCCTAGAAACTGTTAGAAAGACCGTTGTCTTCTACTGATAGTGAAGTAAGTGTAGATGCGGAAAATGAACTGACAGCCACTACAGTAGAAGGGACAGCTGGCCTGGTTACACGTTTCGGTTTCTTGGCTGACGAAGGCCCATGTTCAGCATCCTTAGATTTAGATCAGCGGTTGATATTACGTTTCTGACTTATCGTAAATATATTCAAAAAGCCTCTTCAGTGAGATGGAAGCATTGTGAACATCTGTGGTCCAGATCATGTGATCAGCAAAAGAATGAGTACGTCTGCAATTACTGCTGGCCAGGCGATTCTCGTGATGTGTACCCATAATGATGAAGATGTTGATAAAAATGCAGAGGAAGCACTCACCAAAAAAACCCGAACATGTATTCTCTCATGTTCAGTTCACGTCCCCACATAGTGTCTCAGGTCTCTGCACACAGGACTACAGTGCATATACAGTGCATAACCCATTAGTTTGGGTAGTCACCATGGAGATGCTGGGATGTGTTCGAGTGTAATGTTTTTTTTAAAGCTGGAAACCTTGTTCCATGACATTTTAACATCAAGATTGAAAGAAAGAGAAATGCATAGTGTGAGATAGGCTAAGTTTAAAAAATTAATATTAAACACATTTGATCTGAGAAAAAGGATGATTTCATCCTAATATATCACAAGAGTTTGCCACTAACGTGGCTATATCCCCCGCCCCTGTTGCAGAATTTATGACATAATTGAATCTAAACAAACCCTAACCTTTTTTAACCCAGGTGGAACTTGACATGGAAATTGTAAAAAATACTTCGTTGGGCCGGGGATAACAAACATCATAATACTAACCAAATATTGAGCATCTGAAACAAATCAACTGTAACTCATAATGAATGCTGAAATCCCTTTTGATTCTCCTCATAATCTTTTCTCAAATGCCAAGTCTTGGTGAACGACATGCTGGGATTTCCTTCTAACTGATGCTAGTTTCCTGCAACTCGTTGTAACTAATAGCATACCTTAACAACAGCTCCTTTGGCAACTTCTTATTTATTGCAGCATCATCGTCTGTTGAGAATTGGGAGATCTGGAAAAAGTAAAATCGAGGTATTTCATTATAACACAATGGCCTCTCGTACAGTGCCCAACACGCTGAAACAGTATCTTATTTTACTTCTACACAATACAAGGAGATTGGTTCGAGACACACTTCTTTGTTCTTCCTCCTGCCGAAACTCTAAAAAGATGCTTGTTTGAAATTTGAATCAATTTTCACTTTTCTTGTTTTTTTTAATGTAACAAAAGAGTATCCATTTCTACAAAGAAAATAGACAATGACATTATCTGTAACAAGGTAAAAAACAAACATGCTATGATGCTATATGATATCAAGAACTTGTTCACTTTTTGTAACGAGTCTATTTAACATACATGCTATATGAACCTCCTCTAGTCTTGTTTCCTATTATATTAATAGTTGGAACAAGTTCAATGCAAGCCAAGATCATTTTCAATTTTTGTTGAAAAAAGTTTTGGGTCCAATTAGAAAATAAATAGCACCAAGGCTACTTCACTAGGTACATTTGGACTGAACTGGAAATAATACATAGTAAACATCTTCAGCCATCAAAATGAAAAAGGCATAAGGAAATGTGGATGTCATGAGTTGTTTTTTATTTGGATGGATTGGGAAAAAGACATTATGGAGTCCATGTAATATCATATACATCTTAAAGGACATTGTCATGATAATGTATTGTAACATATTACCATATTTGGTACAGCATTTTCTCTGAATTCTTTGCAACATCGGCGACAATACCAAAAACTGAGTGTAGACAACAACAACAATAACAACAAGGCAAAAGTGAGCAGGGCTCACTGATACCCCCGACGTCGACTCCAACATATTTCTAAGTTCAAAACATAAAAAAAGCAATGTTTTCTCAGAAAGTCCATTTATTGAAACCAAACTTGGCACTGCACCTCTCCTATTGGTATAGAAACTGTATGCCCAATTGGAAAGAATCCATGAAGCAGTTTTCAAGTTATAGGTCGCATAAATGTTCAAATTCCAAACATGAAAAAATAATATTTTTTCTTAAAATACACACTTTGCACTACATCTCTGCTATTACTATAGAAACTGTTCCTTTAATTTGAAAAGAATCCATGAAGTAGTTCCCTAGTTATAGGTTGCACAAACATTGAAGAGGAACAAACATTCAAATTTTATAACACGTAAAAATTCATATTTTATCAGAAAATCCACATATTATAATCACAATTTGCAGTGCACCTCTTCTACAGACAGACAGACAGACAGACACAGACAGAGACAGACAGACAGACAGACAGACAGACAGACAGACAGACAGAGAGTCTCTGACTTAAATAGTTTTTGCGCAAATTTGTCCCCTGTGAGAAGCGGACGGATGGACAGACGGACGGACTGATGAACTCAGTTCTTATATCCCCCGCCCCACTTCGGATAACAATTATAATAATTATGTATTTACATGAAAGGATTTTTTTTTATACATCAATCGCTGTGATGGCATAAGCTATGAGATTATACAGGTACATGTACATGAAACAAACACAAAGAGACTTACGAACATAAGACGTACACAAGAAAGACACGCCACAAAGAAACACTGACAATGTCCACTGAGCACACAAATAACAGCAGTGATAAAAATATTGGAAGAATGAATTATATGCTGTCAGCAATTATTTGTTTAAAATAGCAATGTTGATGGAATGAATGTTTTTGATGCTCTGTTGGTTCTGAAACAGGGGATTTGAAGGAAGGAAACTTTGCACTGCAGTCACCTTCTACACGCTGTGACTTCAAACAGTTCGACTTCTGCTTCTGTGAAGCATCTTCTTAATCTTTAAACATTATCATAATGATTTGGTACTGTAGGTTAAGAAAAACAAAATAACATCATTTCTCAAATTATTTGATCATATTCCAAGTTCCACTGAAGTGGCACACATCCCACAGCATAGACTAACATTTAGTCTCTGAAATCTTATATTACACAATATCCTTCTTGACTCTAAAAATAAAAAAAATTCCCTATGCTGATTTCAGATGTGGAATAGAGCTAGCTTGAGCTGGCTAGACTTGCTTTAGTATGCATTTCTAAATTATTTTTTTTCACAAAATATATTAATATTCCACGGTCATGGTGGAGGACTACAGCACACCACCAGTTTCTGCTTTCTTAGCTTTCTGTGGGTTCTGAGATGACAATGAAGATATTTGTTTCAAAATTTAAATATTATTCTTTCAATATGGTAATATTATTAATATTATTCCATGAAGACACAGAAGAAATCCCAGGCACAGCATAGCTCTACACATCCTCACTCATTCATGAGATTTCAGAATCGATTGTCAAACAGTCCTAATTCTTAATCTCACTGATACAAAGAAATCTGGTTCTCATTGTAACAAAATTACCAATGTTTCATCTGTCTAGGCCAAGGATTTCTCGAGAAGACTTTTATCAATTCCATTTCGTTTGTCAGACATGTTAGATCAACCATCCATTTAGTACATATCAGTACATTCAAGGTAACTGAGTTCAAGTTAATGACGTTCAATTGTACGTTTTTCTCACATAACCATTCCCTACATTCACTCCAGCCGGGCACCGACATGAACAGTACGCATAATAGAAACCAAAATGTTGTCCTAATGCAAGAGATCTGTTCCTGACTGTGAGGACAAGATGGCAGTAGCGAAGTGAGTGTGCAGCCTTGTCTGCTAGTGAAGCTACTTTAACTACTACTCTCAATCAATAACCTATTTAACTAAATAACACTCCTTAAACTCCCTTTCACGACCGATTCAACCAAAAATTGGTTGAGTTGTTTCTGCTCACAACAAATAAATCAAAAGTACATGGTGGTTAAGGTCATTTTCAGCCATTATACACTGGAATGTCAGCTTCATTTGAGAGAAAAGCGGCGTTAAACCCAAATCACTCACTCATTTGAGTGGAAAGAGTGAGTGAGTGAGTTTGGGTTTACACTGCTTTTAGAAATGTTCCTGCAATATCAGGGCGGGGGACAGCAGAAATGGGTTAAACATTGTCCCCACATGGGGAATCGAACTCGGGTTTTCGGTGTGACGAGCAAACGCTTTAACCACAAGGCTACTCCACCTCCCCTTGGGGGAAAGACAAAAGTGATGTAGACTGCAGACATTTTCCACTCTTATGAGGAGAGGTAAAAAAGGGTTGAAGGTCGTGTTTAAGATTATTGCACTCACATAGCGACGTGCATGTGTTTGTGCACGCGTGCTTGTAGTAGTCCGGACTAATGACGATTTTTTAGTGCTTCATGGATAGAAATGTCTTTTTTTCACGTGTGCTACTGCTAAGAGTGTTTACCTGAGCTCTTTGGGACTTTAGTGTGCCAATGAGAGGAATCAGAAGAATATTTTAAATGAAAAAAAGAAATGATTATGTGAAATTGTATTCATTGAGTGTGTTCATATGTTCTTTGTGTTCCATGCGTTGGTCCAGTTTACGTTTTGTGGAAGTACATTTATCACTGGCTTCATGTGAAAAAACTTGTCCCTGTGAATTTTAATTTAAAAAATGTGACTTTTTCTGTGTGAACCAGGCACTGGGATCTTATTTTGACAATGTCATTAAAGATTTACCATGACATTGGCACATTCAATTTTTGATGATTAATACAAGTAATTTGTAAATCTGTTCTTGGAAATGTTCTGGCCTTTATACAGTGGTGGTCACCCAGAATTGCATCGATGTGGACCTGTGAAGATCCAGGTTAGAAATGGTCTTCTGCAACCCATGCTTGCCGTGAAAGGCGACTAACAGGTTCGTTTTGTCAGGCTCGTTGACTTGTTTGATGCATGTCGTTGTATCCCAATTGCGTGGATCAATGCTCATGATATCAATCACTGGATTGTCTGGTCCAGAATCGATTATTTACAGAATGCTGTCCTACAGCTGGAATATTGCTGAGTGCGGCGTTCAACAACAAACAAACAAACTGTATCAATGTGGCAATCAACCCAAGTGCACAGCAGGAAGAGAAAATGCATTAACTACTCCCCTATCAGCATGACCAATCTAGAAATCTATCGCCTGAATCTAACAAGAATAACTTATCCACATGCCTCTGGTTGTGTTTGTGTGACCTACATCCTTCAATGTAAAACTTCATGTGGGACACTTTTTTACTTTCAGTTCAGGCCCATGAGACACACCTGAACTCGTCTGTCCTCAGACTGTGCACTTCATGCAGATCATGTTTCTGACTTTGAGTGGAGTAAAAACCTGTACCTACACATTCTCAAAACACACAAATAACCACTGCGGCTCCACTGTTTGCCGATCAGACAACATATTGACTTCTACCTAATGTGCTGTGAGGCTGGGACCACTGCACTGCTACAAGTTCAGTTCCTCGTCAGGCATTTATCCCCGCAATACATGTAAATCAGGAAACACTTCCTCCTGTATAAGAATCCCTCCCAGAGGATGTACGAAGTTCGTGAGTTTAGGATGTGATAATGGTCCATTTAGTCTGCACCATGAAATATGGATAAACTGCTGTCCGCTCACAGAAGCATGACGCTCGCCACAGTGGTGCTAATGTGCAGTTTACTGCAGTTGCGTGTCAAACACATGTCTCCCCCCCCCAATCAGCACAAACTTGTAATTATGAGCATATTGGTAACAGATAGTTTACAGATGGTCATGTCAGCTTCCTGTTGATTGTTCCCCTACCATCGTCTTCGCAGTGTGCGGCATCACCCGATAATCAATAACTCGCAATACTTGTCTGTTTGCAATGTTATGTAACAACGCTCACTGCTAGCAACGTGCATGTCATCTTTAATGTTCATACGAAGATCCTTTTCACTTCATCAATTCACTCACATGGTCAAACCATGCTGTTCCTAATGCAGACACAGAGCGACATCATTATTGAAACAGAGGGTGCCACGCCCTTGTCTACTTGCAGCTGTTATTTATATTTGCATATTTCTATATTTCTATAATACATCACATTAGTGATCCATGGACATTACATAAC